AGGTCAACAGTCCCAACACGAATGGTTTAGTCCAATAGTGCCATGACTCAAAGTTCCGACAATCGGGGTGCTTGTCACCTGATTCCTGCCTTAGTATCGACAGGAGACTGGGTTGTCGGCATCCAATCATTGCCTTTTAGTCAAGGATGCATTCACACCGCAGAAAATCAATGTGCGATGATGCCGTGAGGAATGGTACTACCAATAGAACCTTAAGGGGGAGAAGGGAGGGGGAAGAAGGGCGGGTTTGCCGGAAACAGATAGAAAAAGGAAAAAGCGAAAAACAGGACGGTTGAAGCCGCTCATCCCTAGTCGAACAACACTGTGGAGTGTTGAGTGGTTCTTTCGTCTACGTAAGGTTCGCAGGTGGTGGATTTACTAGTACGCGGGGCGGAAGGGAAATATAGGTACAGTAATCCACTGCTACCTAAAACATTACAGAATGGTTTCTTGTTTTAAAATTGAGTCATCGCGAATGTGGACTATAGGAGTCGAAAGAAAAAGCATGCTATTACAAGAAACGCGGGGGTGGTTTTAACGCTATCTTGGTCGAAGACAGGTACAGAAATTGTACTCCGTACCAGGCGTAATAATACGGTTACCAGCCTTAGTAATGGATTCAATTGCCCTACGAAGTATGCATTGGTCTTGAGGCTAGGGCAAGTGGCAGTGGAATCACGGGCGGGGGCGGTGCGTGAGAAGGGAGAAAAGAAAGCAAGATCGTCACGACAATGGAGTGGTAAGAATGATGAAACGATGAATCTTAAACCGCTAGTCAGCAGATCCTTTGGGGGATTCTCATAGGTAGCAACTTAGCCCCATACTAATCTTGGAGAACTAGTAATTAGTCAGGTATTTTCCTCCCACAGCCGGGTAATATTTTCCCTTTCCTTACATACCAGAAGTACAACCTGCTGGCACAATTATTTTTTTTTGTGGGCTATACCCTACTATTGAGGGCTTATCATTCTACGTACTCCGTACTGGGGACATATTGAGGCCTTTACCAGCCACTAGTATTAGTATCACACTACCTTCTCACCGTCTCAGAAGAGCGGTCAGTCAGCCTTTGTTTTGTCCATTGAGTGTAATTCACAATTCATAGCTTGATAATGAGAATTGATAGAGCACTCGAACTCGTGGATTCATTTTCCATGCTATCCAATCAGTCTTGTTTGAACATATCTTTTATTCTTTATTCTGTCTGCCTCCCTACCCTATGAGATCAGAGAACTTAGTCCGGCATGGTGGTCATCCTATCCACCCATGCCTGTGTGGTTGGACACCAACGAAGCCGGCTAACAGGTCATACTAGGTAGATTTCCCGTATTGCTCCCACAGACCATCACGCCTTGGCGGTAAACCAGAAACAGATAGTACTGCGACCAGTTTGAATGCATCGTGACTTCCAAAAGCAGGAGGCAACTGTAGGACGCTCAACACAGACGCGAGAAAAAATAAATAAATAAATAACATACAAATAAAACCATAAGCAAAATGGTTCGTGGGGTGTGAACCCCGCACTACAGCTGAGCCATGTTGCTGAGCTGGCAATGCTTATCGTCCTTGTTCTGTCTGTCATTTGAGTGTTCAGCTCACCAACGGTCGTTGATGGGGGATAATGGTCATCAGAAAGTGGTATAATGGAGTTTTGCTTTAGGCAGACCAAAATTGCGCATTTCCCCTCCCTCCGAATCCTCTGCCAGCCCTGTTCTTGAGGCAATTTCGATGCACACATATACATTTGCTAACGTTCTTTTTTATAGCAAGGATAACACGGTCACTAGTATTATCATGGAAGTAGTACCATGTACAGTGAACAATGAACAAGAAGGCGGCTAAATATAGATAAAGCGATATTTCTTTTATTATCCCTACCAAGATCTTTGAAGAAATGATGTTGTCGGCTATCGGGCAATATCGGCCCAGCGTCCAACCAAATCAATTATCTATCGAAGGTTCTTTCATTCTTCCATGGAGCAGGTAAAGCCTGATTAGATTAACTACTACTAGTAGTCTGCCTCCCAACCTTATTGTCTCAAAAAATGGATTGGGCTCCCATTAGCCTTTTCCAGACAAGGCTGATTCCTCCTCCAATGGCAGGTTATTTTTGGGGTGCGAATGACCTGATGCATTAGTAGGTATTACAATGATATTTCCTTGTTTCTTCTTCTCATTCTGAATCTCCTCCTGCTTCTACTGGAATCATAAGAAACCGACTGGGGTGCTCAGGGCACGTGGGCGTATGTATGAAAGCAAAGTAAGCAATTTCATTCAGCATCTCTGTCATCATAAGATCGATACCCGATAAGAAGTCCCCGACCGGTGGATCAAAATTGATATCGCGGCTGTCGCGGGAATCTGTGTCAGGTAGCAATGAACAGAATACTGGGATTCTTTTTCGAAGGGTCTCATCTACGAGTGAGTACATTTCCATGACGCAAGGAGTTGTAGCAGATCAGTTTATATTCCCTTCCTAAGATCAGCACGCGGCTGTATATATGGACATTTGTAGACAAATCTCCGTAGGAAGTGGGCAAGACGAGGCCTGAACCTCTTGCTAGTGTGATGTTGCGCGGTCTTGGCTACGGGGTGGTACTTGTTAGCACGGTTACCTTTTCAGGGTGTTTACTGCAGATGTTTAGTTGCGTATGTAGATACCTCATAGAGAGAGGAACGATTTGTTGTAAACCTACCCCTCCCCCCAATACAATCGAGAATGATGACGATGATCAGAGGGGAAGTAAAGCGGAGAACAAGGCTCATGGATTTTTAGGGTTGTCGCCGCCTCGCGTGCTCAAAGAGTTTTGATTGCTCCTTGCGTAGATTTATTAATATTTATTTATTTTCATCCTGAGGGAAGTATTAGTGTCCGAGGTCTGTGTGTATATGCTATATTGTCATGCCATCATCAGAATCAACTTTGGAACGTTGATTCCGAGAAGGTTAACCGGCACTGATAATCACGATGATCGAAAGAGCGGGGGAGGGGATAATTCTCCGTACTACCAATCCTCCCACGAGCATCATTCAGCCGTGCTCTGACGTGCCACGAAAGTCCATCAGGAAAGGGATATCATTCGATACCTAGGCTTTGAATCCAAGCCCGTGACCAGTAGCGCAACATTTCATTCGCACCGGGAGCACCGGCTACCAGGGTGGCCATGTTTGCTACCTACTCTTACTATACCAGCTCAGTTAAGCCTAAAACCCAAGGTACCGGGACTCCAAGAAATTTTTAGGATCCTGGGGTCTGAGACCGTAGTATCAATGTAGCATCGGTCTCAATAATAATTGATGGCATTAAGACTCAGTCTTTCATGCCCCTTGACTTTCTAGGTATGTACATACAGTACATACATACATAATTCATTTTATCACTGTGGATCCGCTTCTGCGCACATTTTAATGAGACTGTTACCCTTTCAGTTCGTTTGCTGCATTAGTATAGTGTTCAAGTTCGGCATCTTACCGGGGCTGAGTCACTCCAACCGTTGGATTCCTTTTATGATCCAATGATTCACCCTCTGACCACCCCTGAACGGTCTGACGATAGAACCTGAAAAGCCGTAGGCACTAGAAGACCAACCCTGCCAAGCGCCGTCCTTGGGAAACCCGGCCGACAATGATAATTGGTCCATTTTATCGGCCTCGTGGAGAAGTCTCCTAAACGGTGGCCCACTTGGCCACTTGACAGCTTCCAATCCCCTTCCATTGCGGGCTTCTTTCACTGAGGATCTTGCATCCGAGGACTCCTGGCTACGATCACGAACAAAGCGTGTGATGAACGCATTCAACGGGCAAAACCCTTGGCTTTCCCCAATCCTTGAGCTCTCCTATCATAAATCCCTATCACCGTAGGCAGAAACATAGTTGATCAAATACTCTGTAACGTTTCCGATGCTTCCCTCCTGCGTTTGTTAATTTTTTATATTTCAATTTTGGTATAGTATTCAGCAGTGCTTCGTTCTTACCCCTCCATGTTTTGTTAGATTGTAAAGAAATGAATTTATTAATTTTACCTTGTTTCATGTACTTCTTTGAGAGAAAAAAAAAACTCTTCCTCAATTGGATGTACCATACAAACTTCTGCATTGGGATAGTTTCATTATACGTATAGATAGCCTAAGCGGGATTGTTCGATCCTCATACACATGAATCGGTGATTTACTCCCTTCCGACCAAATTTGGTACTCGAATACTTCTGTTGATCAATTAAATGACAAACAGACGTTATGACATCATAATCCAGGGAGCACGCAAGTGCTTCCCCACCACCCGAAGCGGAAGAAGGACCCAAAGGGAGTCCATTTAACAGAAAAAAATTGAGGGGAAGGTAGAAAATAATTAAAAAAAAAAAAAAAAAAAAAAAAAAAAAAAAAAAAAAAAAAAAAAAAAGGAAAAAAAAAAAAAAAAAAAAAAAAAAGGAGAGATAATGTATCCCAGCATAGTGGTTACCATCTTACCACAACAACTGCATTAGCGTGGTAATCATTATTGTCCGCTGTCATGTCATTACACTGCGTTGTTATTTACCTTACATACGTCCGTACAGAACAACGAACATTTCTGGTTTTATGGGGGCCTGTACGTCAGCGCACAACAACCCTATCGTAAGTATAACACTTCAGAGATAATCTGGTAGTTTAATTAAAAATCATTGCTTAGCCACATATGTCTTTGTAATGTAAAGGTCGGGGATATAGAACACCTTGAAAGTAAATTAAAACATATATTCTCTAAACACCAATTGGGTAGTGTATTTTAACTTCAGACGACGGGTTGTCACGATTTGATCTTCAGGAGACCACCTGACGAAAACAGAAATTTTCCTCGTTGCAAAAGAACTTTGAGTAATGGTCTACTACATCATCACTCAGAGGTGACTCAGGTACCGGTCGTACCGCATAGACATCAGCTTTGGCGTCCGGACTGTCCGAAGCCACAGTGCGCAAGGAGGGAAAAAGACGAAACAGAAAAAAAAAATTTGAAACTAATAATTACAAGGCAAACTGAGTCGTTCCCAACTGGATGGAACGTTGCGCCTCCTGAGCCGGGGTCCTCGTTAGGAAACTGTAATCTTCTACCTGTTAAGCCAATGAGCCTACGATTACAAATTACCATTGGTGCTGCGAATTACTCAATTATGTTACACAGCTATCGCTCCCCAACAGAGGGTATTCAAGTTTTTCTTTCAATGGGCTGGAATGGATCGGGCAAGGCGTTTCAGTGTTGATAGGTAAGTATTTGGGAGCTAAAAACGGATTGTGTAACATGGAGTAATATTGTAATTTGGGAGGACGAGAAATCAATAGCCCATGCAATCAAGCAAACACGATATCTGCCTGAGGCTCAGCTCAGCTGAGTGCACATCGATCCTTCGATGCGTCTTCGATGCTTCTCAGCCTTCTCTCAACCCCAGTCATTCATGCTGCCAGGGTTCGCGTTCAGGCTATCAAATCCCCTGTGGTTGTTCCCAGCAATGCAGCACATAGTCCAGTCGGGTTCACAAATGCCGGACTTCTCAGCCAGCCAGACAACGTGCTCGTGGCTTGCGGATAGTCCATAACTCGTTCCTATTATGAGGCGGCTTGCATGAGCAACGCCTTTGTTCGCATCTTACCTGCGTATGGAGCCTCGTGATCATTGATGCCTAATGTTGCCTCATCTCCCTTTTAACTTTGGTCGCCCTTTGCTTTCTCATCGTCTCAACCCCCTCCTTTATGGCTGTATACAGGCGGGTTGGCTGTTTGCCACGGGATGCGAGGTCAGACCTCACCCTCACGAAACTCACCTCTGGCGAATCTAGTACCGCTCCAGGACTCCATTCTTGCTTACAGATACCGTTATTGGCCGCGACAAGCATCCGTGGTACTTGCTGCAGCAGTTTGCAGACGGCCACACGGCTGCCATCTGACCTGTGTGCCAACTGCTGGGTGATAAAGGCATCAGCTTGAGAAGCGAAGCCACCAATGGGTATCTGCCGAGGCTTGGGGCAAACCACAATCACGAAAACAATTGTTGTACAGATATCGCGCGATTGATACAGAGTGCCCTTGGGTCTACCATCGCTAGGGCAGGTCCACTGCGGTGGCAATGGTAGGGGTTGTTGCTGCGGAACTATCAGCCGCAGGAATTTTAATTCGAGGTTTGCTTCAATCTCACTTGAACCTGTCCCTTGCCGGCTTTTTTGCCCGTCCCTTTTTTCTTTTTTCTTTTTTCTTTTTTTTTTCGCGCATGTGTGTGCTGTGATTTTCTCTTTGAGCCTTTCAACCTCTCTGAGCCGCGGAAGCTTCTACCGTCATCGGCCGGCTCACCATAGATAACCTTTCACAGTTAAACGGTGTAGTCTCTCGCCTTAATTGAAGCTTTAGAGCATGGTATATACACATGAGCATCAAATGATTTTTTTATTTTCTCAGTTTACACCATGCCTGTCCCTGTGTATCACATCATTATCACCTTCTCATTTTGCTTCCTTTTCCATTTGAGCGGATTTTTGCATTTGCCTTTCACTTTACTCTCGGTCCGAACCGATACCAGTGCGCCACTGCCGTACAAATTATGCAACAAATCGGCGCGCACAACTGTGAAAAACAAGGAGCAGAAATAAGATAATGCCCTTGTATTGTGCTTCGTGAACTGGCTCCCAGTATCTTCTACGGCTGGCGTCAATACCGTTACACATGGATGATACGAAGTATTTCAGACGATTATTGGTTTTACCAAGATTGGCCATATTGGCGACGGGTCACTAAGTCGAGGCATCACCAATGAGCGTGTTCACGGCGGACTTTGTCTATTGCTTGGATTCCACCTGTTTCCACTGTGACTCAGTCCCGGTCGTCTATCTAAAAATAGGACTAATTTTTTTTCCTCCATGGAAACGGCCGTCGGCCAATTATCCACATGGTTCGGAGCATTTTTTTCTAGAATTGTTCGACAACTAGCGCGCACAGCGCACACAAACGCGGGAAACTGGGAACTGGCTGCGACCAGCGGCGGTGCAGGGTTACAGAGCTCTGGATGTCTCAGTGCCGTGGTCCCGGACAATCCCAGTAGTATGTCATTGTTTTTTATGACTAGGATCAAGGCAAGAAGGCTGTGGGACAACACGCTGGGTAATGCATGTGCAGTACCCAATGGGGATAACACTACTCCGTAGTAGGGGCACATCCAGCCATGGGATTATCAGATTGGAATCTTGTCTGCGCTACGGTGCTGCGCCGCATCCTGGGGGAATACAGTAACGTTCCATCGCCTTTCTGGCGCATTGGCAGGCAACGGCCGCCTCGCGGATGATTGCATACGGCTAACGTCACAGAAAAAACCACTGCTAAAACGTGTACTGAGAGGTCATACACGGTTGGCTTAAACAAGGGAGCTAATTCCTTGCGATTACCTCGGTGGGGGGAGGCAGCCAACGATGTTAGTCGATATGGGATGAGGCTTAGGTCCCCAACACGGCACGATAGGAATTATCCCTGGTTGCTACAGGATAAGCGCCAAACAATGAATGGCTTCCCCGGCTACCAGACTTCCGGAACTGGGCTCATTTCTTTTTCCTCTTTTTCCCCCTCTTGCCTTGTTATTTGACCCTCCCATTATATGCCTTACGACGTTTGGCTGCCGCTTTTCTCCACTTTTCATTAGATCCGAACTTTGGATCGCAAGGCACCAATTTACACGAGACTGACTAACAGGATGCAACGTATGCTTCATATCAGCTCGCGTAAGTACTACGATTGAATCGATATTGCGAATGGGGTTCTCGCGGATCTGCCAAGGACACCTCGGGTGGTTTGATATGAGCTTTAATCTCAACATATCCACAAGCCGAGGAGAAGAGGGGCCTTACGGCAATAGCCATCTTGACTGGGGTATAAGCAATATGAATTAATTGACTCATAATAAAAGGCCCTCGCGAACCAAGAGCCGCTAGATTGGCAATGGGTATATACGCGAGTCGCATGTCCAGACTGGCAAAGCTTTAGGACTATAGCACCAAAGCGAGGGATAATAGCAGAACTGGCCCAAAACGGTAGGCTACATATAAACAAGACAGACCAGACTAGAATAAGATAACACACAATCCATGTTCCCTTTCCCCGAATCTTGGGAACACTCGGCCGTCAGACCCACACCAGACGATGGGTACCGGCGACATCCACCTTGCAAACCCTAACTAGCCGACGGGACATGCGTTTTTGACTGAAACGTCCTACCGAACCTAACAGCTCCAACACAGCATTGGGCTCTTCTGTCAACGAGCAGGTATGGCCCCATACTTGCCCGGTGAGGATACGGCACACCTGATCGTCCATATCAAACACTCTTGCCTCCCGTGTGGTTGGGCTGCAAGCTGTATCCGGACCCGCAGGATGGCCTGCCAGACGGGACGGCGGAGCTGCAGACAGGGGCTGGGATCCATGTAACTACTCACGAGGCTTTACATTGCCCCAGTGGTTGCTCTGTCTCTTTTCCTCTTGCGATTCAATCCCTCCGGTGTCATGTTTCTGTTGGGGATTGCAACACGGGGCGAGCCATTAGACTTTGGTATCAGAAGATGAAACAGGGAGTAACTTTTCCATCTTCTTTTGTTGATCAACTTTCGAGATTACGTTGGGTATGATATGTCGAATTTGAACTCGCTTGAGGAATGTCGAAACGTCATATGCCACTCTATCAAAGTTCATTTTGAACTCAGTAAGACATATTGATCAGAAACGACCAAGTTGCATGCAAGAGACCTCGTACAAGAAAGCAATCAAGCAATCGTACAGAACTAAACCCAGAAACAAAGAAACCCTCCAAAGCATAACCACCATCACTTGTCCCATCGAACCGTAGATCTCAAAGACTCTCCTCTCCAAGAAACGAGTAGTAATCCGCGCAACCCCCAAAGAAACATGTCTAGACAAACATGTCAAAAATCTCCCCCGCATTCACCCCCAACTCCGATAAACGCAACAACAGAACCTCCACCACCACCAAAGAGAACCCTCTATAGACCAATAGACCCCTCCCCCACAAAAGATGAACACCACCAAACCAGTCGACGCAGCCTTCACCAAATCCCTCCCCAAGATCGAGGTACGTCCACACAAGACATAACATCGAACAACGACGAAGCTAACCAGCGAAAAGCTCCACGCCCACCTAAGCGGCAGCGTAAGCCGCCAATGTCTGCACGAACTATGGCTCCAGAAGCGCGCCGCAGACCCAACGTTTGACATCCCAGATCCCTGGGTCGTGATGCCCCCGGGCAAGGTGGACTACACACTTGATATGTCTGTCTGCCCCTCCTAATGATCGCAATCAACCCACATAGAAACAAATGAAAAAAAAAAAAAAAAAAAAAAAAAAAAAAAAAAAAAAAGAAAGAAAGAAAGAAAGAAACTAAAACAAAAAATAGAAAAATAGCAAAAATAAAACAAGTGGAAGAATTTTAAAAAAAAAAAAAAAAAAAAAAAAAAAAAAAAATATTGTACAGATTTTCCAACGAAGGAGGGGAATGGATGATTGATACTTGAGATGAGCCATTTAATAGATTCTTCAACACCTTCGGCACATTCACCTACCACCTCCTCACCGACGTATCCTCCATAACCTACGCCACAACCTCCGTGCTGACCAACTTCCATGCCGACGGCATCAAATACCTCGAACTGCGCACCATCCCCCGTCCCAGCCCGCACTTCACCCAAGAAACCTACGTAGCAACCATCCTGTCCACCATAACCGCCTTCGCGGAACACCACCCGGACCTAACAGCCCGACTCATCCTCTCCCTCGACCGCGGCGAGCACACCCCGGCCGATGCCGACGCCATCGTCGCCCTAGCCATTGCGCACAAGCCGCTCGTCGTGGGGGTCGACATCGCCGGGAACCCGAGCAAGGGCGATATGGCGACGTTCGGGCCCGCGCTGGCGAAGGCCAAGATGGCCGGGTTGGGCGTCACGGTGCATTTTGCGGAGGTGAAGACGCCGGCGACGGAGGGCGAACTGGAGACGATCCTGGCGTTTGCGCCGGATCGGTTGGGGCATGCTATCCATGTACCGGCGGAGCTGAGGGCGGAGATTGTTCGTCGCAGGCTGGGGTTGGAGTTGTGTATGAGTTGTAATGTGCATGCGAGGCTTTTTGAGGGCGGGTTTCTCGAGCATCATTTTAGGGAGTGGTGGAGGGTGGAGGAGTGTCCGGTTGTGCTTTGTGTGAGTTCTTTTTCTTTTCTTTTCTCTTATGCTTCTGTTGTTGTTGTTGTTGAGGGAGGGGTTTGAGGAGGGTGATGCTAATGGTGTACAGACGGATGACGTGGGCTTCTTTTGTAGTCCTGTGTCGAATGAGTATCTGCTTGCCGCGGAGCATTTCAATCTCACTCGTGTGGATGTTGTGGATATAGCTCGGAGAGCGGTGAGAGTGATCTTTGGAGGCGAGGACGAGAAGAATCGGCTTTATAGACTATTAGATGAGTTTGAGGCCGGTTATAGAGAGTGATATGGCGTCTTGATACGATACATGTCTTACGATAAATGATATAATGAGCAGCAGAAGCAACAACTGAACAACATTTTGATTGCCTAAAAGATAACACTACGTAAAGGGGTATCTCGTGCAAACTAGCCCTGCCACCGGAACTTGCCTTGCTTCAAGGTCTGCACGACTCCCAACGGCATGAGCTCCTTACTCACTGCGGTCAAACTGCCATATCTCTTCACCATCCCCCCCTGGTACAGTTCCGCTGTCCACTTCCAGTACGGTGGCATTGCGTGCCATCGGTTTGAAAGGACTAGGCGGCTGCTGGGGTCCTCCTCCAATGTCATCTGGTTGATGCGAAGCTTTGGTGACTGATTGATCGTCACTTCGCACGGGACGCGAACGAGATCATTGTATGCGTCGCGAAGGTGCCTACTATACGTCTCTGAGTAACGGGCGTACTCTTCCAGTGACATAAAGGCAGTCGGGTCCTCATCGTCACCGAAAACTTCAGCAGAGGCTGGTTCCTTAGGCCCGTCTTTCTCAAATTGTGCTTGAGCGGTGTGATATTCAGTCTCATCCTTGGTGTAGGCCTTTTGGAGGCGGCCGGAAGGCGTTTGCTTGATGTTCTCGCGCATGGCGAGAAGAGGAATGTACGGGTTCGTGAGTTCAAGACCGCCAAATTCAACGGGGAAGTAGAAGAAGCCTTCGGGAAGATCGTGGATATCGAATCGCTCAGCGATCATCTTTCGAAGGTGATCGGTGACGCCGCTGGGGCTATCAGGGAAGATGGTGCGCTCAATACGGCTAAGGGTGGTGATGGCCATATCGATGTGACTCCGTCCGAAGCACATGGCCGGTTTGGCGAAGTTGTTCGCGAAGAAGCGACCGAAGTAGCTATTCCATGCCTGAACGAAGGAGAAGATGCTCTTGCATGCAGAGAGCTGGTGCTGGAGCTCCGAGATGTGGTTGTCCACTTCCTCTTGGTCAATGATGAAGCGGCCCTCCTGAGCGTCAAGCTTCAAAAAGCCCCAGCGGATGTCACCGGTGGGTAGAGCATTCGAGCCCTCGGTTTGCTCAGTCTTTGCGTAGGAAGACAGGTCTTGATACGGCTGTTGGCCGGATTTGTCTTTGTTCTCCAGATGCACTGTCCCGGTCTTCTCCTCGTTAAACGCGAGACCCATCACTTGAGCAAACTCGGTCATAGTCTTCCAAGCTTTGACACAAGTCTGCTTCTGACCCCAGAACCAGAAATCATCATGCATGCGATACAAGTACGCACCATTCGTGCTTTGGTTCACTGCATAATCCATGCAGAACAGTACAGCTTCTCCGAAGCAGTCCGAGAGTGTGTGACTTGTGGGAATTCCGCGTCTACGGGTCTGCACCGCGGCTTCTGGTCCATCTTGAGTAAACTTGAGGGGACACTCGAGGAACCTCTTGAAGAAATCGAGCCAGTTCTGCGGTACTCCAAAGTACGCCAGCACAGTGAGCATCGTGGTATGTGGGATAGACGGTCCAAAGTGCTTGAAGTCCGACCGAATAGCTGTGAATTGTCCATGAATCCGGTTCTGCACGATAGACTCCGTAATCAGGAGATGGAGGAGCGAGTGCTTTGTCTCCAGGGCGTTCTTGCGGTTATCTTCCTCAGTGTCGTCGGTATCGTTATCGTTATCGTCATCATACCCCCGCCCACCTGCGGTTAAGGAGGAAGGCAATTGAGTCATGAAATAATCGGTTCTGTACGTATCGCGTCTCGCATCGTTCACGGAGCTGACACCTCGCCCATTATCCTTACCGAGGAAGTGTTGACGCCGTACCCGTTCCGACTTCGAGATAGGCTGACGCAGGCTTTTCCAGGCCCAAGTCCTCTGGAAATGGACAAATGCAGCCCGGAAATTCACCGCCCAATGGAGCCCGAGATACTGGAACAGAAGACTGTCCAGCAAATCCTCGTCCTGGAATACCCGGTACTTGCCATTCAGCTGACGACGCATTTCGAGAGGAAGACCCTCGGACGGCCATTGCCAGCTATCAAGGGCCGCAAGACGCATGTTCAAAACATCCGCCACCTCCTGGGCAACAGCCTTGTTGAGCATAAAATCCTTCAGGATGGCGGACTTTTCCTTGGTGAGAGAGTCGGATTTTAAGAGGGCCTTGCTCACCCATTGAAGCGTGTCAACATCAAACTGGGCCCGTTTCGATGTATATTCATCCCCAAAGCTCTTCATCTTCTGTCGCAGGGTTTTCAACGCTTGCTGAGATTGGTTCGTCTTTGTGAACAGACCGTCAAGGTATTCGTTGATTGTTTTCTCATCTACACTGGCGTCGTTGAACACATACTGCTCCCACAATGCTCGCTGCTCCTGCATTTCCGCACGTCTTGCGAGCTCGGACTCGGAGCCTTGTTCCTCAGCCTCGGCAGCTGAGTCTCCCTCGGACTCAAGGCCGGTCAGCCACTCCGTGACCAGGTTGCTGTAGAAGGAAGCATGTTCGCGACGGGTGTGCAGGAAATTTAACTCTTCCTCGAGCTGCGCAACCCAATCGCCTAGGCTCCGATCCGATACCGACGGGTCAAACTGACACTGCAGAAGAAAGCGGCGGATATTGATATGGGCAGCCCGGACGGTAGTGTCCTCCACAGCAGCCTCGGCCTCCGACTCTCCAGATTGTGTATCCAGATCCTCTCGGTCGAAAGCATCATTGGGGTAGCCGTTGAGCTTAGTGATTCCTTCCAAGAGGACCCGTGCCTTGGACCGCAGATTGGGTGCGTCTGCGGCTGCTTTAAGAATCCCCTCTCGTTGCTTCTCAAAGAGCGAGCGCTGTTTGGAAAGCTCCGCGATTTTGATGTCGGTGATGGAGCGAAGGGTTTGCGGAAGAGCCCCAGAGGTAGCCATGATTACGTCTTTCGGATTAATGATCTGATTGGACGAGAGACGGGGGAGTGAGAGGATGTAGGTAACTAAGTAGTGGAGTTGGAGTACCTGTGATGATCAACTTTCGGATCAGGTACCAACAAAATCAACAATGGTGTGTGATGTGTTGATTTCCCGTGAAGAGTCCAGGAGAGAATCCGAACTCGATGGACAAGGTAAGACAAGGAAAGATAAAAGTCAAAAAAAAAATTCGGCTGGTGAAACTCTGATTTATATATGTCTGCTAAAGGGGAGTAAGTAAATTACTTTCGCCCCTCTAGTGGAGATGGAGTGGATTGTTGACTTTTGCCGATGTAGATCGTTTTGAGATCTCAAGATCTCACTCGCGGCGGAGCAGCATCGTCGGGCTCCCGAAATGGAAGGACAGCTCAGCTCAGCTGAGCCACGCCGTCACTCCACGAGTGGTCAATGTGTCATGCAATTCAGTCAATTTCCGACTGGATTCAGGCGTAGAGTACAGAGCCGATATTATGCTCTACTAACGTATCAACAACTTCACCCCAATTTTTCATACTCAATCCAACATTCGTCATACTGCATTTCCAAGAAACTCTTCCCCCGAAGCTCTCCTACGCTCACAAACCTCCAGCGTCGGATGATGGCCATGACCGCCTTTGCAAGGACCAGCCAGGCCAAGTCTTTACCAACGCAGCTTCGCGACCCTTTACCGAAAGCCACCAGTTTGGCATCCATCTCCCGACGTTGTGACTCATCCTCTAGCCATCGCTGCGGAAGCCATTGGTCTGCATCGTCACCCCATATTCTACGCGACCGGCCTAAAACATAGGTATTTGCTGACACAGTGGTACCGACGGGGAGTGGGGCTGGTAGGCTGGAGACTACACTTTCGGCACCGGGTCTGATGACTCGGGGAAAGGCCGTAGGGAAAGAGGCGCAATGACGCAAAGTCTCTTTAACAACCGCTTGAAGCTCTAAAGAGAATGGAGGCGCGTCGAGATCTGCCTCTTTTCGTAGTTTCTCCTGCCAGAGGAGGCCTTCCTGCGTTCCTAGTTGGTAGACCATGGCTGTTAGAGCTGCAGCTACGCTGCCCGGTCCGGCAAACACCAGGTTGACTGCCTCCGAATACACTTCATCTTGAGTCATACGACTAGAATCATCAAGAGGGACCTCTAACCAACTTGTCACGATTCCGGGCTGTGCAGGTCGGCTAACCTGTTTGGGACGCCGAAAGATCATCGTGTGGCTCGAAGCCATGAGCGCCATAATATCTGCGGGACCGCCCTGTTTGCTGGTGGACAGGTTGCGTAACACTGTACCGATGAAGCGGCTATTCATGATCCAGCCGTACGATGGGCATAGCGAGAAGCTCCACGCCATCTTGGTCAACTTGCGCATGGTTGAACACATAGTGGCCCCGATCGCAGAGTCGGTATACGGATGCGAGATACTGTCGGGGCCATAGATGAGCTCGAGCATGACGTCCATCGTGAACCGATGAGCCAGCGGTGCCAGGTTCACCACGGTCTTCTCGCCACCTTGTCCTGACAAGGACTCGGCCTCTGTTCGCGTAAAGAAGAGGTCCACATGCTTGGTTATAATGGATTCATATCTGGTTATCTTTGCGCTCGTCAAGGCCGGCCCAACTACCTTACGTTTCCTCTGACGATGAGCTGCATCGGTTTCAAGAGCGAATACGCTCGGCACACGGTTGTCAGGAGGGCCACCAAACACGTAGAAGTCGTCTTTTTCGACGGATTTATTAAACCCGTAGATCGCCTCAAAGGCTCGTAGGTCGTCGAATGAGAGCCAATTTGGCGCTACGCGGACAACATGGCCATATTTATCATGCAGATGTTGCTCTGAAAGATGATGTTGACCACCAAAAAAGGTGAACAGTCTCCTTTATGTAGATCGGTTAGTTCGCTTGGCAATCCGTATAGACAAAATGGGGTGGATCTTAGCTCAATGAAGGCTAGATTAAGGACGAACCAGAGATTGGTAAATCGAGCCAAGAATGGCCCGGGGTAGCGCGCAAGTGGGTGGAAATAACACTGGTAGATCACATGGGCCACAAGGGCGGCGAGGGCAACCTGAGCGACGACAAAAACCGTACTTGAGACCATGGTAAATATCGTGATGAAGGTGTAACAATCACAGTTGAATACACCAGGATGAGTTCGTCAGCTTCAGTTTTGTACCCCACGTCACATGTAGGGGATGCACGTGTCTCGTATTAAATGGCTGTGCGTTGATAAATTGGTTGCCTGAACATGCTTCAGAATACAACCCCTCTCGAATATCTTGATCATGATCGATGTACTTCGTATTGTCTCCCACAAAATCCCGAATTGTGTCGAGATAGAAAGCTAATTGAAGAGTCCAGATGACATGTCCAGCTACCCGGTTGATCGCCATGATTTACAAAATATATGTATATATATATAGAGAGTTTATCAAAGGTACCTGGGTGAAATGACACCAAGGGGGCACGGGTCAAGTCGCATACGAAATGAGAATAGTCTACTCCGGCGTATGTCAAGAGCAACAGAAGGCATACGCAACCCCAGGTGAACAAATGTGAGAGGTAACAAATCCCCTCACCTCGTCCGGGTTAAGCCGTATGTTCAAGGTTCAAGTCACATTGTCCGTCTATGAAACCGAAGCCGACTACGATCCGAGCGATGTGCTTTGACCCCAAGACATCGCAATACAATTATTGCATCGAATGAAGCAACTCTTGCAATGAGCTGGTTCAGAGCAACTCTCTCCAAGCCGAGCGAGCAACCATTGGCGGGGTTCATGGGGCGAGGCAATGAGCTTAAGAGAGGTGCGATGTGGAGACATGAGTTCGACCACCCATCGCTGACAACGATAAGGGGTTGCCATTGCGATCTGGGAGCATCGCAGCATTCCATTCACCGGCCGACAACAGGAAAAGAATTCCGAGGGATGAATTGTTTCCAATCTGCAGAGCAGTGCAGATAGGTAAGCGAGCATGAAATCATATTATGAGAGGATTGTTCATTGAGAGAATTCACATTCAAAGCGCTGAAGAAGGGAAGGAAGGAAGCGACTAGTGTTGATAGTCGGCGCCAAAGCTGGAAGATCGTTCACACCCCAATGGTCGATCTCCGCCCTCATTGGTTGTGGTAGGTGGGGCGCACCCACTTAGGGGACTTTTGTTCCCATTGAAAGGATCCGGCCAGGTCGGGTACGGCTGAGCAGTCCCGCCGAACAATCCCCTCTCTCCTGCTTTATCACATTCAGACCCCAAGTGCCAAATCCATGACAGCGGCTTCGTCTCCTTAAATATCCCCCCCAAGGTGTCGTCTCGTGCCTAGTCAAGACGCAAAGTAAACAACAAAGAACAACGTGTTGAATGATGATTGTCCTTGCGTAGGATTCATTCGGCGCTTACACTTCTAGTACTATAGCATCCCACACACTCACCCTCACCCACATACACACCCCAATCAATCAAACTTTGCCCCGTCCATCAACACATTCAAGATGGGTATGGAATTTGTCTTTATAAATGTTAAGGAGCCGAAGGATGCTCTTCAGCTCGCGAAGGAGCCCGAAATCCGATCTCACGTGGCTCGGTACCAGTGGAAGCAAGTCGAGAATCGCCCGTCTCTCAAGCGAAAGAGAAATACGGTGGTATCAGTCTGCATGAGCATAGACTGTTGCTCAACCTGGCAATCACGAAGCGATTATAAGGACGACTCTCCTGACAGTACGTCCTCCACCTCCACCGTCTCTATTCCTCTGCAGTTGGGGGGACTGCGAGACGACCCTTTTCGGTCCTATCCGGTCGGGTTCAAGTCGTTCATGCCGGTATTCGTGGATCACTGTAAGTGCGGAATTAGCGTCACCATCCATAGCAAGTAGAGCCGTACTGATGGAATATTATAAGACCTGGTGCATATGGCCGTGGACATCCCGGAGCTCGATCAACCCGGGAACAAGGGCCTTCTGAGAACCAGCTGGTTCCCTTTGGTGATGAGCGAGCCCTCCCTGTTCCTGGTCATCATGCTGCTCGCAGCATCCCATTATGCATCTGTGAGCGAGCATGCCGCAGATATGAAAGTAGACCTCCTCACCCTTCGTTGTGAAGCCATCCAAGCGATCAACGATGCCTTGAAGTATCAACCACCGGACCGGGTCAGTGACGCACTGGTAGGCGCGATAGCGAAGATGGGAAGTTATGAAGCGATGTACGGGAACATGGCGAGTTATAGCGTGCACATGAGAGGACTGACCCGGGCGGTCGGGTTACGAGGCGGTCTATCCGCGCTTGGTCTGAACGGATTACTCCGACGGATCGTGGTCTGGATCGACCGCAATGCTGCCTTCCTGCATGGATCGGCGCTCTATTACCCTGGCGCGACCTTTGTGCCGGGTCAAGCTCTCCCTGAGCCCAATCCTGGTCATTTTCTTGCATCTTCGTGATCGAGCGCAATGCCCGGGATTGATTTTTTGTATTTATGTATGTAATATTAGTAGCGTGGGATCGGGAGTTAATATATTTGGGAGTGTTTCATTCTGCCAGCTGTCTTTTCTTTTCTTCGTCATTTTCCCCCCTCCCGAGAACGACCACAACGTGACGTCCTGTCTGAATCGGGATATCACTCGCGGACCACACTCTATCCGGTTAAACTTCCAGATCAATCAGATTGTCATCCGAAGCGCAAATTCTCCCATTGGAGCCCCAGATCTGAAATGACAACCATGACAGCAGACACAGATGGGCAATGTCCCAAATCGGACATCACAATTCCCAACCCGTGCGATCGTCCAGACCCGCCACCAACCATGAAACCCAAAAGTGGAGCCCCCCCGCTTGCCGTTTCCGGATAACGCATACTTAACCCAATTCAACTCATACCGAACATGACAGAAACCCATTGAAGAGACAAAGAGATTGATTCATGGAATTCCGGGAATGGTAGTTCCAGAGAGCATGGAAGACTGGGTAGACGACATCATGGCTCCACGGATCATTATAAAAGGACCGGGGTTCTGACACGTCGGACTCTTCCCCCTTCTTCATTCAAAGATCGCTGCGAAGTATAACACAACTCGAACAAATCACACACCTTCTTCTTATCTCTATACCAACTCACTCACCTACCCAGTCCTACATTACGAAGAAGAGAAAAGACAAAATGGCCCTCAACGGAAAAGTTGCCCTCATCACCGGCGGCGTCAAGAACCTCGGCGCCGCCGCCGCCCGTGAGCTGGCCAGCTCCGGCGCAAACCTCGCCCTCCATTACCACTCCGACAGCAGCAAGAACGATGCCGCGACGCTGGAGGCCGAGCTGAAAAAGTCCTACCCCAGCATCAAGGTCGCGTTCTATCAGGGTAACCTGACTTCCGCCGGAGCCGTGACGAAGCTCTTCCAGGATGCGCTGAAGGAGTTCGGAAAGATTGATATCGTCGTCAATACGGTGGGCAAGGTGCTTAAGAAGCCTATTACTGAGATCACGGAGGAGGAATATGATACTATGTTTGCGTAGGTCTATTCCTGGTCGATTGATCCACTTTGCTTCTAGATATATATATAGAGAGAGAGAGCAAGGACAGGTAACGAGGGATGGAACTGACGCATTGGGAACACAGGATCAATTCTAAGACGGCGTTCTTCATTCTCAAAGAAGCTGCTGCGCACGTCACGGATGGAGGCAAGATCATCACGATCGTCACGGCCCTCCTCGGTGCTTTCACGGGATACTATACTTCCTACGCTGGTAGCAAGGCTCCTGTCGAGCATTTCACTCGGTATGTACCTACTTACCGTACTATAGCCAATATCATTCTCATCCACCCACAAGTCTGATCCCCAAGGACATACACTAACAAGTCAACAGAGGCGTCTGTAAGGAACTCCAATCCCGCCGCGTCAGTGTCAACAACATTGCCCCGGGGCCAATGGACACCCGTAAGTTACCCTCAAGGAAATCCTAAGAGCAAGTGAACAATGTTTAACCTAACACTCGAAATAGCCTTCTTCTACCCCCAGGAATCCCCTGAGGCTGTCGAGTTCCACAAGTCCAATGGTATGGGCAACCGTCTGACCATGGTCGAGGATATCGCTCCGATTGTTCGGTTCCTCTGCACGGAGGGCGCCTGGATCACGGGCCAGACCATCTTCGCTAACGGTGGATATACTACTCGCTAAGGTGGGTGATTGATGTGGAATGAATGTATGGTGTTATGACAATGCCGGAGGTGTATGTGGTTTTATAATGTGGTTAAGATATCAGGAGCTTGAATAGTGGGTTAGCTTTTGGATAATACGACTGCCCTTTTGCTTCGGAGGACTCCCTGGGTATAGCTACAGTTTCCAGAATAAGGCTCCATTGAAGAATGATGACAATGGCCATCCCGCGCATCCATTTCTATTATTAAAGTCGTATAAGAATGAAGTCAAACAATATCATTAAGCACAGGTATCATAAATCAAGTCTCATTAGTCATACAGTGGCCGATGACCCAGCCTTCGGTCCTTTCCGCTCCTGGAGCGTGCCATAATTGAGAGTATCTGCCTTCGCCGGTTCCGGCACATCGTACGCATCGACTTCCTCTCCATACGTGATAGACATGCTGTCCACGTCCTGATCGACTTCTGACCAGGTGGAGCTAGTCGCGGGAACGGGGAAGAGCCGGGTTAGGATGTAGTACATGAGGGCAGACACAAATATTCCCGAGAAGTAGTTCACGTTGTAGATGTACTGGGCGCCTACAGGCACCGTGCGTCCAACGGCACCGGCAAAGCCGACGATATTGACGAGGATTCCTGCAATATACGAGGCATATGCCTGCCACGAGAAGCCGTAGACAAATCGGTATGCGGAGCCCTCCCGTGCAGTGTACAGTTCTTTCACTCGCAGATAACCCTTGCGGACGATGTAATAGTCACAGATCATGGGGCCCGCGATGGAAGAAAGGAAGATCGAATAGGCTGAGAGATAAGTCGTGAAGCTGTTGGATGAGGAAACGAGGTTCCACTGCACTTCTGTCAGATAATCCCCAAAGGAGACGCATCAGGGTACCTACCGGATTCATAGCCAAACCAATTGCAGCGCAAATGTAGCTTCCGCGCCGGATTGTAAGATACCGCGGAAGCAATGCTGTCATATCCGTACCCGCGGAAACTGAGTTTGCAGATATGTTCGTCCCCAACTGAGCTAAGGCAAACCCTGTAGAGATTATAAAGATCCCAAATCGCTCCGCTGAGCTGGCGCCAACCTGGAATTTGCCCAACAGGTCAAGAGGATTCCACACCATCTCTCCGCCAAAGATCACCGCCGAGGATGAGGACGCAATGATACCGATGAAAGAGGTGATGCCAAAGCCGATGGGAATTGTGAGAAGCTGGGACCACAGTGCATCTTTTGGTTTCCTGGCGAACCTCGAAAAATCGGGATCGTTCACAATCAGCGTCGCAAAATTTCCCAGGCAGCTCATAATCGCCTTCACCACCGCCCACGCGAGCGCACTGCCGTGTACGGTATGGGGCTGATGCACAATGGGCCCAAGGCCTTTGGCGCGTGCGATGGCCCAGGCGAAAAAAGCGATGGCCGCAATCGGCGAATAGATTGCCTTGACGGTAAAGAGATGGCGGATTTTGTGAACAGGGAACCAAAGGGCTGGAAGGGACAGTAGCCAAAAGATGAAGAAGCTCACGAAGTCCCTGGTTGTGACGCCCGAACTGGCGGGAATGGAGTTGGGGAGGCGGTTGTAGCTGGGCCAAATTGAGCTGATCATCAATGTCACGCACTGGCCTATTTTGCGTTAGATAACCATGACAGCATCATAAAACACTCTCATGGGGTGAGTGAGGGGCCCAGAACACAGTGCATACCTCCGATGTAACCCTGAACACCGTACCAAATAACCGCCATTGCAGCTCGATTGAATACCGGCCAGAGCGACCCCCAAACTCCAAATGTGGATCTACAGACCACCGGGAAGGAAATGTGGTAAACGGCGCCAATGCGACCCGTCAAGCATACAAAACAGGCAGCAATGAAGTATCCGACCCAGACGCAAATCCATGACTGCCACCACGACAAACCATCCACGATCATCGAGGACGAGATCATCCACGTGTTCTGTTCGAGACGAAGTTGTTAGCATTATGCTTTTCTGTGGGAAGGTGAACGGATGGCAACCTACAATATTCAAGGAGTCCGCAATCCAGAAGGCGACGAAGTTGAACCATTTCCATTGACGACGCTCGGGTTCGACTGTACATCACGACGCAATCCCAAGGTCCACTCGGTCAGCTTTACTCGTCCTCTGGGGATATGATCTCTAGTGCACAAAGGAAAAGCGGCAGCAAAGGGCGTCTCGAGGAGATGCGCTGGCCAGTTCAAATGATCTCACCTGGCCGCAAGTCATGGTTCGTCAACATCAATTGTGTGTTGGTCAGGCCGGGTTCCGACGGCACCTCCAACTTCTCGACCCATTCTTTAATTCGCGCCATTCTTTGAGAATCCCCCGTGGACTTGGGTGGGAGTGGAGTGAAGCTGATGGCAAATGTAGTGGTATATGATTCAAAGAATAGAGAAATTACATTCAGGAAGGAATAAGGATAGTTCAGTGGAGTCGAGGGACAACAAGATGAATTGATGGGAGGCGGAGAGAGAGAGGGAGAGAGAAGGAGAGAGATGTACTACAGTAGTAGTAAAAGTGAAGTAGTATTCCTCCTTCTCTTCGTCCCCCGGTCCCTCCTTCTTCTTTATAAAGAAAAACAAAGGTTGTCAGTGTTGCAGTATGGGGAAGGCAGCATCGTCATTGACCACCCCCCGTTCAGCCAATGAGGAGGGCTCTAGAACCCGATATTCCAGACTCCATCCTTCACCCCCGATAATCCTCGAGGAAGTTAACCAACCTTCATGACAAAAGGCTGATAAGCCGACCATCTGATCGCTGCGCCACCGTTTCCTTATCACCCTCCACGAGCCGCCCGCCAAGGGGGGAAAATGAGAGGTGACCGCGCGTTGGTTTTCGGTTGCTCTATCTGGTCGAGTAACAAAAATGAACGACCCTCCGTTATCTGCGATAAGCTCTCCGCAAACAGGACATGACTGGGGCTCCTCCGGCATCTCCAGCCTATGATCACCGGACTGGTGGAACCACGGTGGAGTCGGTGGACTGGGCATATCTAATCGCTGCCTCATCGTTTCCCCCGTACTGACTCGATCACATCGAGTAAGCAGGAACTGGGTTGATTTTTGTGTCCCCGCGGATGATAACGATAAGGAGATGTCACGTGTACTGAAGAGACCTGAAAAGGTATTAAAGTTCCCCCTGATCTCGTTAAGAAAATCTAGGACCCAGGACTAGTCGAAGATCCCTTGTCTCTTTAATTTTAACTTTAAGTGATGCTATACTGGCAAATTCATATGTGTATCGCTGTTCTTGGCACGGGGCCTTAGGGAATTAGAATTTGTTTTTCCTCAGAATAAGAAAAGGAACGCGCCGAGAAGACTGACTTGGATAATGACCGGAGTAATCTACAAAATCTAGATAGAAATGGTTCTTCAACTCACGCCGATTCCATGCGGTGGCCTAGGAGACATACTAAGATAACATGTTCTCGATCGAATTATGCCATTGGCTATGACACTCTTTGAGCAACACAATGCCAGGGCGGGGGAAGTCACCTTGTCCTATTTCTATAACGATTCGCATACCAAATCATGAATACATGGCTCAAGGACAATATGTACTATATGTTGGCTTCAATATGGTTTCGAACCAGATAAATTGTAGGCAATGCCGCTATCTATATACAACATATCAATGATGACATCGCATACACTTATCGAGTGTGATATGTAGGCAATGTCTGTTTCGTACACTAGACTCCACCATCAACTCCAGGCAACCGTCCAGTCTAATTCACGCCGCTAATTTTACCCACACAACCCCATCATCCCTTATTCCACTTGCCGAACTTCACGTAGTCGTCATAGAGGCCCTTGAAGATCGCACGACCGGATACATCGAGTCCAGCATTCAATGCCCGCATGGTATCCCGTGACATCACATCCAAGACAGAGTAGAGACCCGGCAGGATGGCAGTTTTGACTTCTGGTGCCAGTGAGCCGCGCAGGGAGCTCTCCGCATACTCCATGATGAGGTACTGGAGGTACTGACCCGCGATACGCTTAGCTTTCTTGGTCTGGTCAGTCAAGCCCTCGTGGCTCAGCCCGGTCTGGGTGGGCCTCGACACCGCAGAAACGGTCGGGTCGCAAAGTGATGTGAGGAGACGGGTAAAGTGCACGGCGTGGGCGGCCTGCAGGGGTGCAAGCCAGAATGGTTGCTGCGCAGATCTCTTCTCCGACAGCATAGTCCTTGTGCGCTTCTTACTGCGAGCGAACAAGCAGTTAAGCAGTCGCTGCATGGCAGGCAGAATCAGATGGAAACGACCACCGAGTTTCTGGCGGTGAATACCAAAGAGTACGCCCATTAACCGACATAGTCGAATATAGATTGATGCAGAGTATTCCGGACTAATTAGTGGACCGGCCTTTGAAGCGCACACCGCAACACATGCCAGAAGACTGTCGATGTTCCACTGAGTAATGCAGCGTGTGTGGCTACGCAGAAGAATATCTATACATTCGGTAGCAAGAGTGAAATGTTCGATGGATCTGCTACGGCGAACTGAATCCGTGACAGCGGTGCACAGAAGAGAGAGTTCTTTAGCCGTGCTGCTTTCCTTATCATCGACAGGGGCAAGTGCGGCGACAGCTAAGCCGGAAACGAGGAGGTGATAGGCGGCATTCTCTCCATCAAATCCAAGTTCCCGGATGTCTTGGATAACCTGAGTCAGTTGGTCCACAGTCATCGACTGAAATCTGGCAGTTGTTGATCGAATAAAAAGCTGCTGCTCTTCGCCATACATGTGCTGGAGCGGCAGTGTCTCGACGCAGCTTATAACAGGCAGTGTAATACTCTTCTCTGTGCCTTTACCAGCCAAGACACGACGCCTGATGAGCCTTCTCAGTGAGGACCCTGAGTCCACCGATTTTTCAACATAATTCTCGATCTTGGTCAAGAACTTCTCAACTTCAGCGTGATCCGTCGCCAGGTCCTCAAAGTCCTCCAATGCATCCAGGATCTTGATCAAAGTAATGGTCTCCTCTAACTTCTGCTTCTTGCATTGATCTTTGACGGACTTGACCTCCATCACAACCAAATCAAAAACCTTTTGACGGCATGCAGCCAATTCCGTCTCATCAACACCAGACAGTCGCTTGCGGTGGAGCCAGAGCTGAGATAAGGAGATCCTCAAGAAAAAGCAATCCATGGAATCACGGTCAATAGTTCGTAACTTAGACGCCTTGGACGAGACTTTGCGGTACATCTTCTTGAACAGTCGGCGACAATCCTCTTCGGAGAGAACAAGAAGCTTAGATACGACTGCTCGATGTAAATTTCTGAATGCTTTCATGATCTGCAGGTCAACTTCTGTCCCCTGCAAGCTGACAGCTTTAGCTACTGTCCAGATTGGTTCCCAATCGCTGGTCAAAGCTGCCGTGGACTTGGGCATGTCGGCCAGCTTCGCCATCAGGGACAATATTCCTACGGTGATTTCAGCCGTGCTATTTTCCTGTATGACAACAGCCTGCAGGAGGTCTAGTAGAAGTCCCCTCTGGCGGCGTGTAATAAGCGCCGTAGGGATTCTCTGGAGACTCTCAACATAAAGCCTCCGATTTGAGGCGTCCTCCTTGACTCGTTCCGATAGGACGGTAATCAGGTCAACGGCGATGGCAGGAGCATTAAGAAGGTATTCGTGGCAGACCACACTCGCCCAGGCCTGTAAGAACCTTGCCTCAGATGGGGGTGTCTCGAGCGTCGATGACGGGTCATACTGAGATGTTGCTAGTGAGAGCATATTTTGAAAGAGAGAGCGGCGGATTTCAAAGTTGACCTCGCCCCAGACGTCCGGACACCTGACAAGGGTCAGAAAGTAGGCCAAGACGAGGTACATTGAATCGAGAGTGTCCACCCGACCATTCCATGGGGAATTATTGGACGAGGGTGTTGATTTTCCGGAGCTAGATTCCATAAACTCCGCAATATCCTTAGTGAGCAAGTTGAACTCATCAGTATAGCTGGACTTTGCAGATACACTAATGGCAGTAACAGTAAATCGATATGCTTCGAAGCACTCCAGGGGTGCACACAGTTTCTGCATCCGGTCCTTCTGATGGCGCTTGATAGACTTCGCCGCAGCTTCAACTAACCCCATGATTGTAGCAGCAAGAGGGCTGTCGGTTGGGTGCACATTGTTCTCGAGAAGGCTGCGAGTCAGCCTCCATAACCGCCATCGCCAATATAGGTGTTGCTTCGAGGACAAGGTTGACTTCAACGTCTTAATAATAGAATCCAGATCTTCATGGGAATCTGTAGCACTCAGATCACGATTTCTAAAACCAGCTTCCAGGATGACAAACTGAGCATAAGACCCGGCGGACTTGGAAATCTTGCCATCCTCGGCCCTAATCTCAGTTGCAGCTGCATGCATTTGCGCAGAAGCATATGTATGGGTAAGGGGGCTGCGCATCAGATCACCGTAGACATTGCACACATCATCATCTTCCCAGACAGTGAAAAGGCTCAAGCTACTGTCTTGAGATCGTGCCTCTTCTACTTCAATGAGTTGCTCATACCACAACTGCATGAACGTTGCCAAATCTCTGGCACTCATGAATGCGCGCATCAAAGGAATCAAGATGCCGTTTTTGATAGTCTCATAACTTCCACCTGCCTGAGACGCACCGCTACGCCAGTGTAGGTTAATTTTTTGAAGTAACGCATCCAACAATTGAGTTGAGTTACTAAGTCCAGAATTTGGCAAGAATATGTCTGCCCCAAGCTCAATCAATAAGGCGGTTAAGCTCCACTCAACCTGCGACAGTCCGTCTCTATGCAGGCCGGTGTAGGAAGCATGAGTGAGCAAAGTATGCAAAGATAACTGCACGGTCCGGTCGAGGGCGACGCGAAAGAGCCGCTCCAAGACACCGACAAATTCGGGAAGGTAAGTAGTAGTGTTCTCAGCTTTCACAATAGAAAATGCTAGCTCAGCAATTGCAACGAACAGAGTCTCCAACCAAGGCGCATCGTGTGTTTGTCTTCGGAAGGTGTCTCTGGGAACCGATCGACAAGCAATGTCGAAGAACTCGGGCAGAAGTTCTGCCGTCTTCCATAACGTTTTCTTCTTGACGATGTCACCACTGGTATTCTGACTGGGGAGCTCGAGTTCACAAAGAATGGGTCTGAAGGTATCGGAAACAGGCTTCACAGCGCTCCAGTCCGGTTCGCTGGCCGAATAATCTATGCCTGATCCCCCTCTATCAAAAAAGGCGGCCCGCGCGGGAAGGACTACATGGAGCGCAATCAAACGCTCAACCCCATGCAGGACTTGAGTCCTTTCGTCAGTGTCAAGCTGAATGGATCTCACAGAGTGCTGCAACCTCAGAGCACTTTGGAAGCAATACTTGGCAAAAGATTCCTAACAACAACGTTAGCGCATGGCATTCCTCCGGCATTCAGCGCGGCGCAAAACTTACATTGCTCGATCCACTGTCCGTGTCCACACGATGGTTAGATCGCATATCCCATAGGTCCAGGATAGCTGGGAACACATATAGGAGGTGTTGCAGATCTGTCGTCTTCCGCGCGTTGGAAAACTGCGTGGAAGCCACAGCTGCAAGTCTGAACGATCTCCCTAAAGTCACAGCAACCGTTTCGGGCTCACCTTTCAGCGCATGCTTCAAATGAGAACTGGCTACCTCATCATCATTCTCAAGCGTTCGACTTGCGAGCATCACCAAGCTGTACAAGCAATCCAAGGCACGGATGAAGGACAAGAAGCACGACGTAGGCGTCTGCGGCTGTTCGTCAACGTCCATTCCATCTTGTTCACTGTCGCCAGCTCTCTTTCGTTTGGTTCCTTTCTTATCACTTTGAGGCGATGTATCGCTGAGAGTCTTACTGGACTCTGAGTCCGAGTGGCCCAACTCTGTCACTCCATTTTCAAGACCGGCAAAAACATCATCCTCCAAGTCGGTAATCGCGTGGTCGAGGATCGCCAAGAATCTCTGGTCCTTGAGTGTTGTCGCCAATGTCTTGGGCTGAATAAGATCAATGAGTTGTCGTAACAGGAGAAAAGACGCAGGCTCGACACGATAGTTCTTCCCCGCCTTCAACTTCTTTAATAACCATCGGAGAACCCATTCTTCCTTCGGAGCGGCGCGAGCTTGGACGTAGGTGGTTTTATTAATCTCCGGATGACTTGCGCATAGTGCCAGATCCAGTCCGATGATTTGAGCTGCCTCGTTGAGTTGACTGATTGGAGAGCCCGAGCCTTTTTCGAGTCGGAGAAGAGCCTCTTGCGAGGAGCGCGGACGCTGTACAGAAGACAAGATCAACAAACATACTTTATACGAGAAACTCAAAATCTCGAGTAGTTAACTTACCTCCGCAAAAGAAGGCATCTCGAGAAGAGTGTGTCGAACGGCCCTCCCCTATCTTTCCTCTTGTTCTTTGTCAGTGCGGAGTTAACATTGCGTCCTGATACTACCCGCCCAAAGAAAAAAAAAAGTAGTTAACTAAGCCCGTGACGACAGCCCAAGCCGAGCCTAGTTTTTCCGACCGCCTTTGCCCGACAGAGCTCAAACATCGCACCCGATTTCATCACCTCCTCCTTGGCTTGGTTATTCCGCAAATATTACCCTAGACTCCCTCCTTAGTGTCCCTCGTCACAGTCAGTCCTGCTTCAATTGCATCAATGTGTACCTCTGGCTAATCCTCGCTTTTCAGATCTACCGCAATGGCCGACTCCAACGAATCTCAGCCGATCGTCCGGGCCACCAAGCCCGTCAGTGAGGCATTGCTCAATGAGAAGGTACTAGTCGCCTAATGAATCTCCTATATTTCTTTTCTCGCCATATTCTTGCATCAGTGGCAACCCCTGGCCTGTTTGGCCACCATCTCGGCTATTCCGGGAGGTTCCAATGAGCAAGAAGTATACAATCGCGCAGAATTGGGGCTAATACGGACTTGGCACAACTATAGTGGGATCGCGCTATCTCCTCCATGATCATTCGCTCCTCTCTCGGTCTCGGTTTCGGTGTTGTTTTCTCAGTGCTCCTCTTCAAGCGGAGGGCTTGGCCCGCTTGGGTTGGTCTGGGCTTTGGCGCTGGACGTGCTTGGGAGGAGGCCGACTGTACGTTTCTGCCCCCTGCTACTGTCTTGTATAGAGGTATCGATCCTGGCTAACATGAGAGATAGCTTCGTTCCGTCGTGGCGACTCGCCCGTTAGAGACGCTCTGCGTCGGTAGAGGGTTCAGCATTTGATTGTGTATGATACCTGTATAGCCGAGGGAATAAAGTCAGATTGGGGCTTCATTCATACTGTTTAGAAGAATTCCTAGGCTCTGTTTACCGTTTAGCATGCAATCCATCATTGTTGTATCCCGCCATTGTTCAGTTTGCGGCTTCAATTCGCATCGCCAGGCGTATAAATACAAAAGCTTTCACAGAATAAGCCGGTGTAGCCAAAGTACCTTCAATTACGACTACATGTAAAGGCTAGAGGGAGCTATGTAAGGATGTGATGAGGCCAATATATCCGAAACTGCATTGTTATATCAAAGCTATTCCATGTCCGGACGACACTAGATCGTGAAAAATGTGAGATCCACCGCATGGGTATTCTCTGGGGAACTCGATGAAGGCAGTCGCAAGAAGGAATCGGGTAATGACAAGAGAGGGGATGTACTGATGTATGTGTTGACTACGTAGCCCAGAAAATTAAAGGAAAATAACTGTACACGAAGACTGGGAGCGTAAGAAATCTAATGTCCAGCATCTATTTTGGGGTATCATGATAAACGGTCGGCCGAAGACGAAACGCGGCGTAAGAATAAATAATGCAGAAACACCTGCGGCAAAGGGTAATTTGAGATGGGGAAAGCTTCACAGCATGGGGGATGTCGATGGAACGCTAATCTCGTTCAAAGCCTGTATCCCAGACACACCGATGCCTGGGTTGTCCGACGACGTCACGGGGCCAATGGGAGACATGCTGGTCTCGGTAGTAACAGGTTCAAGCGAAAGACCATTGTGTCCGCTGTGCGTGAGACAGCCAACGCAGCTACAATCATTTCCACACTGACAATTTCCCGTCACATCAGAGCAGCCAGATGGCAAGCCCACTGGATATTCAAGAGTGTAATACTCTGAAGGTTCCATAAACTGTTGATCTGAGAGGTATTCAGCTGGTGGAGACGAATATCCATTCCCAAGTATGCGTGAGGTTGGGTTCTGTTCACCATAGGAATGCATCATCAGATTCTGTGCGCCATTATTGAAGGCATGGCTGAAGTTCGGATAGGAATAATCCAGTTGAGTAGCGCTATGTTGTCTACCGTGTAAAGAGGGAGTCTGGTAACCGTTCATCTTTTCCACGCCCCTGTTCTCGCCGTCAAAGGCAACCAAAAGGCCCATTTCTTGAACATGCTGCCTTGTTGTATTGTTGAATGGATGGGAAGCACAGCCCAGGCATTGACAATTATCACCACAGCTGCAATTGTGGGTTGGATCGCTGTTGAGAGTTGTCGGTGCCATATAGCCAGAATTATTAGGATCATGCGGAACGAAAGATTGGGTGAGACCAGTGTTGGTAATGCTTTGATGGGGGAAGCTCATGGCAACAGCCTTGGGTGATGTATGTAACGAATAGTCGGGCACATATGTGGGTTGCCCAGTCGGTTGCTGGTGCGACACAAACGGTTGGTAGTAGTGGTTTTGTCCGGCTGCATTGAAATCCTGCCACGAAGGAATCTGAGGTGTAGATATGGGTGTAAAGGAAGTCGCATTCAAAGAAGGCGTGTAGGGGGCGCTCGATCCCTCGGTTGTACGTTCTGTGCTGTGGCCATTTTGCGTGGTACTTTCAGGCTTCTTACAACAAGAAGCTTGAGGCTTGGTTTGCACTGGTGGTTGAGATTTTTGAGAACAACAGCTTCCACCTGGCGGTTTTGAGTCGTCGCCATTGTTGAGGGTCTGATGAGGTATGAAATTGCTAGGTGCACCACCGATACTCTGAGGAAGACTGTTTCCCATGGTTCCGAGCCCGGAATCTTGAGACATAAAAGGGGAGACATGGCTAGAAGTGCCGTTTTCGTGATGTTGTTTCCCAAAGTCTGGTATAGAATCTAGGGCTTTCGCAATGCTCTCGGGGGCAGTTTTGATTTGCCTTCTAGATGACTTCTGGATTTTACCAGGAGCGGGTGAAGCTGTAGGGGGAAGAGCAGTCGGAGTGGGTGGTGTGGACTCATTCGAGTCCACAGGCACTTGATATACCGGTCTACAGAGACACGTAGAGCCTTTAGGGTATTTAGCAACTGCTTGTTTTGTAGGGGAATGGGAGACACACCTTTTGGGATGCGGATCATAAATGCATAAGTCTTTTGGCAGCTACATGTCCCTTTCGGATGGGGACATTTAGCAAGGGGACGTCCGGCCTTCGGCACCTTCATCATCAATCTGTCGAAATGTTGGCATTTTGAGGAACGATGGCCACGAATACATGGTTCGCTAGGCATTCAGTTAGTAACTTCGTGCTGACGACCAATAAGTGAATTCCTACCATGACCACTTGGCGCCTTCTTCGTCCAAGGGCATTGTGTCTGGTCAAGTCTCAAACTGGCGCACTCAAGACAGTACTGCTCGAATATGCTTGGGGTCAGTTGAACTATGTCTCGTGCCGTTCTGTATCGACCTCGGCGCTATCGCAGATCCACCAGTAATCGCAAGCCACAGTGCAGATCAAGTTCGACATTCATTAAACAGACGATTAAGTTTCCTCAGTTGAGTAGCCTTCCACACAGGGATTGTGCATAGAATCGGAACAAAGAAATCGACAAGGGTCGCATTCGACGGGGCGGTGGCGGTTCGATGAGAAGAAGAAAATATACGAGAGCGACGCCAACAGATAAAGGGTGACGCAGAAAGAAAGGATGAAGACTAAAGGAAGATCCAAAAATGGGAGACCCAAAAATAATTAGTAAACAGTGGCTAGACAACCCCGCCAGGGTCTGCTTTGAAGATGCGGGGGCTGTTCGGTGGCATCGGAGGAACATGCAAAATCCAACCTGAAACGAGTCTAAGCGCGGCTCCGAGGCCAGCGCCTCTCCGCCTGAGGCATCAATATGTGCCAGGGGGTGCCTGAAGCTTGGCAGCGCGGTAAATCGGAGTTTATCCTCAAATCATCCGGCAATAAGCAAGTACGCAGAGCTGCTCCCAGTCGACTTATTCCACTTGCCTCGGTCTTTCCATTCTTTAACGTGTGACCATTTTATAGATCTTCTTTTTTTTTTTTCTCAATAGCTCTTTCCTTATTCTCTCCTTTCAATGACTCTAGAAGGTCGTGATACCTCCGGCCAGGCGCCGGGCAATGGAACCATTTCACGCGCCAGGGATTATTTCGCCGTTCCTGCTCCGATCAAGCGCATCTTCGATCAATTCCCCCTCGTCACTTATTCTCCCAATGACCTTCCTCAACGTGGTGCCTCGAACCGGACTGGAAATCGGTTGTTTGTATTTACAGATGCAGCGGGTGCGAAAAGTCACAAACCCTCATTCAATCCGCAGTGTCTCAAATGGCAGGTACGTAGGAATAACGGACTGCGCATGCCGTGTCTGATCGCCTCTGACCTGAATGACTCTGTGCGCACAGGCATACTTGAGATTTGTCGGTATCGATTTTGATATTGTTCCTTCAAACAATCATGCATCACCGACCGGTGCTCTTCCCTTCCTCCTCCCGGCCCTTCCAGTCAACAGCAACGCCCCGATACCTTCCAGCAAACTACAAAAGTGGGCCATTGAACAAGTCCACTGCGAAGAAGAACAGCAATTGAACTTGCGGTTCGAGGTATATGCATCGTTACTGGATCATCGGATACGGAATGCTTGGGTACGTTGATATACAAACAGCCCGACAGTGGTCTATAATGACGCTCACACGTACACAGTTGTATACCTTATATCTAGACAATGAGAATTTCAGTGCCGTAGCCCGCAGGCTCTACGTGGATCCCTCGACTAGAAATTCGCTGGTACGCGCTACTTTAGCCGTCCAGCTTCAACAGGCCGCAAGAGATGAGCTTCTGAAGACTTCGCAATATATTGATGTCAGCGCACTGGAGGCAGAGGCAGATGATGCGTTTGAGGCTCTCTCTACGCTTCTAGGCAGCAATGAACACTTCTTTGAACGGTCTAGTCCGGGCTTGTTCGACGCCAGCGTCTTCGCTTATACGCACTTGATTTTAGATAAGGGAATGGGATGGAAGCGGAATAGGCTGGCAGAGCTGCTGCAAAAGCATGAAAATCTTGTGCAGCATCGGGAAAGGTTGCTAAAATACTTTTAGACATTGGATATCCAAACGAATTATTCCTGTATAATACTACTAGCCCACTTGTCTTTCACTCCTCACAGCAAGAACAGGATCAAGCCTCAGAACCAGTAGCGCTTCATCACGACCGCTTTCTAAAGCAAATTCCAAACCACACCGTGACACCAATCCATTTATTCGCTCTTGTACCCAAGTCTTTTGCCATCATCTCATTCACCTTTCTCTCGCAAACACGCTCCCCGCCCAACTCTTCAACCTCGAATCCCGCCTTCTGAGCGGCATCTAACACCTCCTCAATCGTGTGAGAATAACTAGTCGGTCGAATCTTCGTCCCAGTCGCTGTATCCACAAACCCCGCCTGGCTAATCGACCCCATCTCCGAATGCATATTGGTCAAAAGAAAATACCCCCCAGGTCTCATCACCGCCGCGGCGCCCTCAAAGAACTGATCCACAGGGATATGCTCCAAAACCAGGGTGGAAATCACACCAGCCGCGCCGAGGCTACACGCCGGCGGTGCCGGAGGCGACCGAAGCAGATCATAAATCTCCAATGAAACCCTATTAGCAAGAGAAGGATCCGATTTTTTCTCCTTGTCGACAGTAGTCCGAGCAACGTCCAGCATTCCCGGCGAAGCATCCAGCCCGACGATATGAGCATCTTGGGGCGCGAATTTCAGTAGCTGGCGAGTATTCCGACCTGTGCCACAGCCCAAGTCGACTAGTTTTGCCGGGCCAGCCTGTGTGCTGGCGGTTACTTTCTTCAAGAGTTGCGGTAGTAGTTGTTGCATTTCAATGGTGTCGAGGGCCTGTAGGAAGTTGCCGTCTGTGTCATAGACCTGTATTTCTGGTTAGAATTGTTTTCAATATTTCTGATTTCGCTTTTCCTTCGGAAGGACGTATTATACGTCGTAGGCTTGCTTACCTCCGCCCATCTGTTGTATGCCTCGACGGTTTCCACATACTCTACTGGCTTCTGGGGGCTTGCTGCATCGCTAGGGGACCCCGAGGCAAGGGTCTCTTGTATAGTGCGAGCCATTGTGGCAGTTTGTGGGACCGGAAAAATGTTCTGAGTAGATAAACCTCTTTCCTTGCTTTCGCTTCTCTTTTTTTTATATATCGGCGGGTGGCAATCTCGCGGGAATGTTTCTCAATGAAGTCGCAATTGCACAACAACAGATGTAGGACTATCGATTGAAGGTGTCTAGGTAATTATAGACTTTTAAATTATATATATATATATATATATAGTATTTTTATTGATAATTCTATGCGTAATGATGGTTACTATTATACGAGAAGATGAGTCACATTAGTTGGTACCGAGGTTGTCACAATTTTTTATATAATTTATTCGAAGATCACCACTACAATCTGCAACATCCCCACCGCTTTGATCTCCCAAACTGTATAAGACCCGAGGTTTTAATGCTACGTTTTCTATGGCATGGGTTTGGAGTGATTATGGTAATATCTGATTTTCGGCTTGATATGATCATTCAAAAGTAGTCATTGCTCTTAAAGTCCGCCCAGAAACATGATACATGATGCATCAAAATGACCCATAAGTCGTAGAGAAAAAAGAAAGGAAAGGTGGATATGACGGAACAAGCAGGGAAAAGAGAATTCATCCGCATTCTCGAGCCAGGCACCGTGCCAGACGGGGCGAGAATGGTACACCAGAGAGAGGGTCATAAAGACAGAAAAAGGTATGGAGATCGAATGGAAGGAGAGAAGGAAAGAGGGCGAAAGGAGAAAAGAAGGATAATTCAGTGCGAGGAATTATGCAAAACACAGAGAGACCAGCCAACAATACCATTCCATGCACGCTCCATTGCTCAATGAAAAGGAAAGGAGAAGAAAAGAAATGAAAAAACAGGAAAGAAAGAAAAGGAAAAAAAGAAGTTCAGGCCGCCGCCCATGTTAGTAAACTGTTGCCCCAAAAGGCGCAGTTTCTTTTAGATCTTCAACGAGATCCTCTACATTGTTGAGATACCTTCCGAGTAGCGCTTGCTTCTCATCCGTCGTGCGCGTATCTCTATTTCCCCTTCCTCCATGGTGAGCTCCTGGGCCATTGGCACTCCTTGGCCTTGCCCCCCCTAACTTGGTTGGACTGCGCTGCAATCCGACAGCTGCTGCGTTCGCCGCACTGGCGCCTGCTCCTATAGGAATCATCGGCGTTTCTGGCATTAGGTAGAAGTAGAGGAACTCAACGAGTTTGAGTTTAACTTCGCGAGACGTTGCGCGCTGCTTGAAGAGAGATGTCACGGTGAGCAGCCCGTCGAGCTCTTCGAATGTGCGCGTGTTGGCAGGATGATCCAAAAGAGCCGTTACAAGAGTGAGGAGGGTAGCCGACTGAATTGCGGGGCAGTTGATCGGGTCCAGAAGATCCAACAGTATGTTCATGTAAATTTCGCGCGCGAAGAGTGTTCGCGATGGCGGGTGGAGAAGAAGCGCGCCTTGAATTAAGTCTAGTGTTGAGAGTATGAGAAGGTCGTTTGTGCCATTACTCCCCCGACCAAGGAGGTGCTCAAGGCAAGTTACCAAGCGCATTGCGACTGGGAGAAGCTTGTCAGTATCGGATATCCGGTAATATATGGAATCGGACCAGACGGCGCCTACCATTCCATTGGAACCCTTCTTGAAGCTTGAAAAACTCTCTAAATGCGGGGTCATCTTTTAGCTCGGACAGAGCTTTGGGAACTGGTTGTGGAGCTCCAAAGGATAGTAATGACCTCCGTTTATCAGACACCGGCTGTTTCGACTTAGATAAACAGATTTGCGCGAGAAGGCCCTCGACCTGGCGTAACCCTTTGCGAACTTTGCTTGGTTCGTACGAAGAAAGGTAGTCGAACGAATGCGCCAACAAAGTCTCCATGAGTACCTAACGCGACTGAAAAATTCAATGGATGGCTGCTGACGAAGAAAAGACGCGAAGCAAGACAAACCCGGAAACAATGTCTTTTTTCAACTCGGCGACGCTTTCGGCGACAAGATGCGACACCGAGGCTTATCTATATGAAAGTAGGACAGGAAAAAAATAGAACAAGATCCGGCTAGTCCAGACGCCCAGGTACCTTAATTTAATTCAATTATTGGTGATAAATAGCTTGGTCGAGGGAGAAATTAATTCGACAACACCACCTTCTGATCGTGCCGAGATCCTCACTAGTCAGATTTAGTGAGAGGGAACCCCACAGGCAGGCAAACACGCCCGATGGTTGCCCCGGGAGACGGTCGGCCATGTCCAATTGGGACGATCCTTCCTCCAGCGTTTCGGTGACCATTGGACCGTTAGGCGCTGAGCTGTCACTGTGATGATGATAAGTTCAGCTGCGCCATCTCGCCAGCTCATCCTCGCAGGATCAACTATCAAAGCGTCCTGATGATGTCGTGTTTTGTTGTGCCTTGGAAATTGAGGCGCTCTTCCATTGTTAGTAGGAGGAAAGTACTAGTAGAACTTGTTCGGACTTGGCCGATCATTGTTAGAATTCTCGTTCCCCTGGTCATTGGGTTGTTCAGTCGACTATCCCTTGTGAAGGGCAACACCTTCCTTGCAGCTCTGGGGTGTATGATCCATGGAAATAGCATATTTGAAAGCATGCCCTGGTAACTCAAATGGAAAGTTTGTTGGAGTGAGTGTCAAGTCAAGGTGCCTGGATCACGCCCCATATCACGTGACCGAAACGATCCCGGCACAATAAGAATCACATGAATCGACGTCACATTGTCCAGGCCGCCTAATTGGGCTGTCCCCGCATACAACAAAGGTTTCTTGCATTCACCCATTTTATATTGTGCGGCACAGGACAAAGAGCCTGTCTCTATCACGGGGCTTTTGGCAGTTCGCCAGGTCAGTTTAAATAACTGGTTTATGTGCTATCTGTTCATTCCTCAGGATATCACCAAATCCAAACTTGATGGGGAAGCAAATCAAGGAACCATGTCGTCGGAAACTTCTTCCATTCAGCCCCCCACTGCCATTCCCCCTCGAACTAGCTCTGCGGGTGCCACAGACGGAGCTAGTACAAACTCATCCGTGAGAGGACAATCCAGCCTCGCCGCCATTCCTGAATCAAATGGCGATCAACTACAGACGAACACGAACATCCGCCGCAATCACACTCGTAACCGGTCCAGCCTAGATGGCACAAAATATAAAGATGGCCAGTGGTCGCCGGAGAATGAGGTGATCGTGCTGGGTCCCTATGATTATATGCTGCAGCATCCTGGCAAGGATATACGGCGGCAGCTTATCGACGCATTCAATGAATGGTTGAAAGTCCCCTCCGAGAGTTTGGCTATCATCACCAAGGTGGTAGCTATGCTTCACACAGCATCACTATTGTAGGTGTATCCTCATAACACTCGCCCCGACTGGACCCGCTCTAATTGTCGTTCTCTCTTTGCAGGATCGATGATGTCGAAGATTGTTCCATTCTTCGTCGCGGAGTTCCTGTGGCTCACAATATCTACGGAACAGCTCAGACCATCAATTCGGCGAATTACGTTTACTTCTTGGCTCTCCAAGAGGTGCAAAAGCTGAACAATCCTGCCGCAATTGATATTTACGTGCAAGAGTTACTGAACCTCCATCGTGGTCAAGGAATGGACCTGTTCTGGCGAGATACCCTCACCTGCCCCAACGAAGAGGAATACCTCGAGATGGTTGGAAACAAGACCGGTGGGTTGTTCCGATTAGCTATAAAGTTAATGCAGGCCGAGAGCAGCACGGGGAAGGACTGCGTGAGCCTGGTTAACGTGTTGGGGCTGATCTTCCAAATCTGTGATGATTACCTCAACCTATCCAATACAACCTACACTAAGAACAAAGGTCTCTGCGAGGACCTCACGGAGGGAAAATTTTCGTTTCCCATCATTCACAGCATTCGATCCGACCCGAGTAATCACCAGCTCATCAACATCCTGAAGCAGAAAACTAAGGATGAGGAGGTCAAACTGTACGCAGTCAAATACATGGAGAGCACTGGCAGTTTTGCGCACACTCAGGATGTTGTCCGGGATTTACGCGATAAAGCCTTGACACTTATTGCCGAGATAGAGGCAAGTGAAGATAGCAAGGAACCTGAAGGCAACGACAATAGAGTGACGATGCGTGCCATTCTTGATAAGATAACCGAGTCAACTCTTAAAGACGCTCGAAAGGCAGATGTATGATCTGGTTTTATTGTGGTTTTTGTTTTCCCCCCGGTTCTCGTCCATGTTTCAATAGCGCGTTAAGCTTGGGTATATTTTGCGCGCTTGGAAAAATTGGATAACGCATCGATGATGAAGATGAATATGCGAATAAGTTCGGCTGTGTCTGCACGATCAGTTTATGTCACTATTTAGCATAGTCAAATTTGATGAAGACAAATGGTACAAATAAGATTTGATAAACTTGGTTGGTAAAGCGAGAATCTAAACACTCTGGGTATATTAATCCAAACTCTCATGTAAATATCCCAGTCGTAAGCCAGGTGATTTTGTCCCCTGCAACGATTATATATCCGTAAAATTATATCGAAGGTTGCCTGATCCTTCGTCGCATTGTGACCGTGAACATAAGTGTTGACCAATCCCATAATATTTACATAACCACACAGCAAGCTTTCTCCAGCTTGCGCAACACACGTGGGAGAATCGCGTTGACCATCTGCTCGACAGGGTCCTGCTGTTGCTGTTGCTGCTGGTGTTGCTGTTGTGGCTGCTGGTGATGCTGCTGACCGGGATACTGACCATGCGACTGGCCATAACCAGAGTGTGCCGGAGCTTCAGGCATATCGGCCGGCCCACCGGTGAGATTGACATAAATACGTCCCGCATTCTCTTCCGTCGCATACTGGAGACCGAGTTCGCGACAGACTTGCTCGACACGAGGTTTAATCTTCTGAACGTGGTTGGCAGAGTGATTGCCTTTGCCGACGATGCTGGGTCAAACCAGTTAACACCGCGCGCAAAAAAAAAATAAATAAAGCCGACAATTAGCCTGAAAACTTACACATGCAGATGGTTTTGGCCATGCTGTCTAGCATATTTAATGCGCTCTTCAAGAATCTCCTCCGCTTCTTCTACGAATTGGCCGTGTAGATCGATGGTATCGGGCTCCACACGCCCTTCGGCGTTGTTCTCGCGAAAGATGAATTCGGAGGCCTGCTTGTTGTACTCCGCCATCTTGCGACCGTGGGCTTTACCCTGCTCGGACAACTCCTTGGCCATTGCGCCATCACCTTCGGAGTATGCTTCTTGAGACTATTGTTCCGACAACGTCGTTGAGAATTAGTCGCATTGGCTCGGGTCAGGTCAGGGCCTTGGAGGGAAAAATGCGATGCGCACACACCCGTTGAAAGCAAGAGTTGCGCTTCTGGGCCTCTTCGCGGGCTAGGCCACGGAGGCGATCGTATTCGGCTTCCGCATCGCTGCTTTGCTCGTGGTTGAAGGCTGTTGGTGTTGCAAGAGTGTTAGTTAAGTATTGGTGATTTTGGCGATGGTCATTGAGAAAAGGGTCTCACCCCGAGGGCCCATATGGGACATTTCGTGCATTTTGGCGGCGGGGCAAATTGCTATAAAAAATAGTCTATAATATAATAGTATTACGAATAGATCTATGAAATCAAAAATCCAAATGCAATGCTCAAGTGGGTAATTGTACAAGAGATCTTAAGACAAGAGGAGAAGAAAGATCGGATCGGGGATCGAAGGCGGTAGCCCTAAAATCCACGGGTGGACCGCAAACCATAGTATGCACGGTGGACCTTAACAGCGATCGATTGGCTCAACTGTATCCAGGGATTCAGGGCAGGCTGTGTAGGCGATTGGATAGTATTCGAGGGTTTACACAAAATGAGATTGCAAGAACCATTGGATAGATTGGCGCAATTATGGGTCGTGTCCCAAATTGTTCGATTTCGCTCTCGTCTTCATAGATTAAGTAATATCGCTGACTGACTGGGACCAAACACTGTGCCAAGTCGTCTAAGTCACGGGGCTGCTCTGTTCCTGACGATTAGTAATATTGTTAGTAGTGGGTAACTTGTCGCGTATCAATCTTTGGAGTTTTGTTTGCTCTTCAATGTGGATATTCAGGACTCAGGGTCTAGCAAAACGCGAACCAAGCCAGTTAACTCCTGGAGGCTGGCGTCGATACCTTGAGCCTCTTGGACCAATGTATGTAGTATGTAGTACCAAGTGCATTCCGGTCCTCTGGATCTCATGGTGAACCCCATCCATTATTGGTATTCTCTTCAGTGTTCATACTCCGTATGCACCCCATGGCTACTCCCCATCTGGAAGGCAGTATTAAGTATGGGTTAGTACTTGAAGTCCGGCCTCAATAGTCCTGCCTAGGACCCATAGTTTTGACGATATCGCGCCTTGTCTAGGAACGTGATTGCACAAAGCGTTTGCATAGTGTGCGGTAGGGAAGTAAACTAGAAGCACTAGACAGTGGAGCACAAGGATTAGTCAGATTGCAGAGCCATGGATGGATGGCGCCACAATAGGCTTTTGCATCGCATGAAGCGTGAGACGAAGGTCCGATTGCAAGGTTGTTTTTATCAGGCTGTGAGACAGGGAGATAAAATGTGAAACGCGGATGACACACTTCAGACACTTCGGTACGGAACGAAGGCCTGATGACCGATTAACGCTCATGAGGAAAAGGATGACGCGACTGCTTGTTGATGGTTTTCTCTTCAGAGTTGTGCGGAGGGATGATGGAAGATCAACGGCAGTTGAAAGTGGAGTTTACAATACAGTACTAAGGCTGTATGATATACATATTTTATATGCTGGAAGCGCTTCGGCCCCAATTACTTACTTACTCCATACAGTAGCAGGATCTCCACACGACCTTCTCGGATGATAGAGATTTTGTCGTAGTACAAGAAGTTTAACCTACAAGAGAAGAAAACCAAGGTTCCGGAACGTGGAAGTAAAACATCTAGTTTCAAAGTTGGGCCTTTTGCACACTACTACTCTGTACAGGCCATAAGTTGTGCCTGGCGATCTGAGGCCATTCCATGGTGTCAGATCCCCACCAGTGGCGGCACTACAAAACTGAAAATGTCCACCAAGTATGTCATCCGAAAATTCAATGGACGTTGGCAGTTTGGCGCAGTGTCTTTTGAGACGTAGGATTTATTCCAGACAATTTTTCTTTTAAACTTTCTTTAATTACGTTTCCTAGGATCTTTGTCGCTAGTATAAACTTGTATATTTATTGAAATACGCGAATGAGTTACTTAGAGTAGCTTGGGGACAATGCTTATGCCTACCCTTATGTCATACAGTCGGACATTGTATAGATCTGCATGGCCCGGAAATTAAGTCATTCCAGTTAGAGTAACGATCAGGAGACTGGCATCTGACTCGGTCCTAGACCAGACACGGGAAGGCCTCAGCTTCAGAGTCTTGTGTTTTGCCTTGCAATGGGGGCGGTATTCCTGGTGACGCTACTGGACTCTGCATCAGGCCCAGCGTCTGAGATGTCAGCTTACGGAAGAAATTGAAGAAAATGTATATTTATAAATTGAAATCCGACACACAGAAACTAGGATGCTCTGATCGCAGAAGAACCTTAAGAGCCACTCGTTTAAAAGGGGGATGGTCAATTATGTGCCATGATTGGCTAGATGAATCTCGTTGGTCCATTCCCTTTCCTCCCTCCCAGCGAATGAGAAAAACGCAATCTCATAGCTTTACCTGTTACCAAACCAAACCCCCCACTTTCCCCCTATTGCTGCTCCAGTCGTACTGTGTATACCACCTGCGAGCGTTCCAGAAGGAAAAGGAAAAACCGAAAATCAATATTTTTTTTTTTTTAATTTTTTTTTTTCCCTTTTCGCTCCCCTTCTCCGGCAAAGCTGGTCAGTAAGTTACAGCCAGTAAGTACTCCGTCAGTCCAAGTCGGGCCCCATCCCATTTCCCACACCCTCCTTTTTGGGTCTCTCAACTCGCTCGCCTCTTTCTCTCTCGCTCGTTTCTCCGACGCCCCCTCCAAAGTCCCCAAAGCCCCCAAAGCCCCCTTACCTGAGCTTATCCTCGCCCATCTTTCTCAGCCTCTCTCTTCCTTCTATTCCTATTCCTCTTTCTTCGATCAATCACTCTATCGGTTCCAGCCGGGTGGTGAAGGATTTACTCCCCTTCCATAGTCTTTTAATCTTCGTGGTCGCTGCTTTTCGTCTATTCTGCACGCCTTCTGCACGCCATAATTCTTGTGTTCGTCAGCATCGGGGTAACATTTTGTTTCACTTTCCTTTCGACCTCCTTTCTACCCCGTCTCAAGACCACGCTCCAATTATCGAATTTTTCTCCCCCTTACTCCCATTCATTTCTGGTCACTCGGATTTTCCATAGTACCACCCGGAATTATAGCCCAATCTTTTAATTTTTTTTTTTTTTCTGTTGAGGGTGATAAAAATATCATCTCGATTTCAGAGAGAGAATTTTTGATCGGTGAGTTAGCCTCGTTCAACTTCAGCCCTCAACGAACCTACTTGATTCTCCTCACTGTATCAACTGGTGATCTCGATGTATCAACTGCTACTCCTTACGTCAGTACAATAGCTGGCTCTGTGTTTCTGTTTGATTTTTTACGCGGTAGTTTTTCGTCAAGTTTGGACCACCTCGTGTTGGAGCACGTTGGGAATTATCAACCGATTGGTTTTGAAACGTGGAAAGTGCGGCCTTTCGCTGACGCCTATTCCTTAAATAGATTCCTTCATATACAATACCACGCCGGCCACCACATCTCTCTTTGGACAAACCTTTGAACATCACCAGTCACCTTAATTAAATACCGCCAACATGGGTTGCGGAATGAGTACAGAGGATAAGGAGGGCAAAGCCCGTAACGAGGAGATCGAAAACCAGCTTAAACGCGACAAGATGATGCAGCGCAACGAAATTAAGATGCTTTTGCTCGGTATGCAACCGATCCTACCTGAATAATCATAGCCATATGTGAGGCGCTTTGTTGACCATTTCTCTGCAGGAGCGGGAGAGTCGGGCAAGTCGACAATTCTCAAACAGATGAAACTGATCCATGAGGGCGGATACTCGCGCGACGAAAGAGAGTCTTTCAAGGAAATCATCTACAGCAACACGGTCCAGTCGATGCGAGTCATTTTGGAAGCGATGGAATCTTTGGAATTGCCCCTCGAGGATGCCCGTCACGAGTACCACGTTCAAACTATCTTCATGCAGCCCGCTCAAATCGAAGGCGACAACCTTCCCCCGGAGGTCGGAAATGCGATTGGAGCTCTGTGGCGCGACAGCGGTGTGCAGGAGTGTTTCAAGAGGTCTCGCGAATACCAACTGAACGACTCTGCGAAATAGTGAGTACTCTCTGATGCAGTTGGTCAAACGCCGACGGCATGCTAATTGATCCACTCAGCTACTTTGATGCCATTGAACGGATTGCCCAGTCCGATTATCTTCCTACGGACCAGGATGTACTTCGCTCCCGTGTCAAGACTACCGGTATTACTGAGACCACCTTCATCATTGGCGATCTGACTTACCGGATGTTCGACGTCGGCGGTCAACGTTCCGAACGGAAGAAGTGGATCCACTGTTTCGAGAATGTCACCACGATCCTTTTCTTGGTCGCCATCTCCGAGTACGATCAGCTGTTGTTCGAAGATGAGACCGTCAACCGTATGCAGGAAGCCCTTACTTTGTTCGATTCCATCTGCAACTCTCGGTGGTTCGTCAAGACATCCATCATTCTCTTCCTCAACAAGATCGATCGTTTCAAGGAGAAGCTGCCCGTCAGCCCCATGAAGAACTACTTCCCTGACTATGAGGGTGGTGCCGATTATGCTGCTGCTTGTGACTACATCCTCAACCGCTTCGTGTCCCTCAACCAGGCCGAGCAGAAGCAGATTTACACGCACTTTACGTGTGCCACTGACACTACACAGATTCGGTTCGTCATGGCTGCAGTAAATGGTGAGTTGCCGCATATCATCCATCTGCTTATGTTTTACTAATAATTGATTATAGACATCATCATCCAAGAGAACCTCCGACTCTGTGGTCTGATCTAATGAGTAGGGTGCTTTGATTGAGTGCCTGTTTGAATATCCGACATTTAGACCGTATGCTATGCGACTTATAATTTCCCTTCTCTCTTTCCCCTCTTTTCCTTTTTGATGTGTTCGTCATACCTCGTGATTTCTGAAAGAACCTGGCGTTGAAGACATTCACTTGTCTATTCTTAATTTCCTTTTTCCTTTTGTCCCCTCGTCTGTATTGAAATGATATCTAGCCAGCTCTTTGTTATCCGCATCACCGATATCCATCCCATGACACAGAGCCGCAGTTCATTGTTCCCTCTTCCATGAGGGAGGGTTGAACATTGAGCAATTTATGCCTTTTCTTATTGATCTTTTTCCTTGTCTCCTTTTCTTTTCCAGCATTTCCATTTAATTTTGTGCCTGGTTACCCTATCCCTCATTCAATTTCCTCTTTAGTTTACGTTTTGGTTTTGAACGCTGGATATCCCATCATCTCTTGGTGCCCTCGTGTGTACTTATATCACTCATCTTTCCTGTCTCACGTCCGCTGGAGCAATGAGCGACGACAGGGCCACGGGCACGGGGAATGGCAGGGTACGTGGACTATCATGTCTTTTTCTCATGTGTCATGCCGGGTCGGTCATTGGGTCATAGTCAAAATTAAGGATTGTGAATATATTGTTTGTAATACTTTCATGTGTAGGTTGTAAATAAAACGAGTTGGACATAAGAATCAAACCCTAGCATTGTATGTACTTAGACATCAAGCCGCTGAGAAGGTTGATATTCAGCTATGGTGATACCCATCCAAACACCAGTACTCCATGCATAAACGCTCTATAAACACAAGATAGCTATCAGAACCGCAATTTTGGCCCGATGAATACAATCAACACCGCAACGACCCATAACCCAAAGATCCAAGCGTAGAGCATCATCCGTCCCCACCAACCCTTCCCTTCGGTCATGCGACGCAACATACCCATCCGTCGTTCTGCTGCCTCCATATTGCCTGTCGTGCGGTCCAGACCCTCGACAGCACGGGCCAGAACAGACTTTTCTGATTCCAGAGAGGATTGGAAAGCCTGTGACGAAGACTTGAGCTGCGTCGCAAGGGACAGAAGAGAGTTAGTGATGTCTTCTTGTTCGCGACGGTGTGTGTCGAGTGTTTCTTCGGTGGATTGTATTTTGGCAGTTGAGGAAGACGATTGTTGTGCAGAGGTGTTGTATTCGTGTAAAGAACCTGTTGCTGTGGCTGGAAGGTCCGTCGGGCCATTATGTCGGTTTCGTAAGGTAGACGTTGGCGTAGGCGAAGCTGTAGTAGCGGTAGCTGTAGCGTCTGATGTCGCCGTCGGTGCCGCCATCTCGTGCGACAAGGATTCGGAGATCTGCCCAGGGATCGTCTTAGTTTCCTCCTGCGCAGCGGTCTCCTCTCCTAATGTGTCTATCTCCCGTCCTTCGTCAGGTGTACTCCCCTCCTCCGGTGTCCCGAGTAAATCCTCCCCGTCCACCGACTCCTCGTCCTCATCCTCGTAAATTCCCTCCGCATCGGGCAGCCCCTGCCCATCTTTTGCGGAGAGCTTCATCTCGGCCTCAGCATTTAGCTGGTCTAGTACACTCTGTAACCGTTTCAGGGTCTGGCGGTCCCGGGTAATATCCGATTGAATTTCATGCCGACGGTCGACTGGTTTAATCTGCGGGAGACTCCGTTCTAATTCTTGGAGCGTAGCACGGGCATACTCTATATTCTAGTTTTGAGCTGTGTCAGCACGAGCCTTGCCAGAACCCCAGAGTCTAGCTACAGCCACCAGCTAGCAGAGCTACTGATGTACAGCTAGCTAGCAGAGCCGACACGGAGTTTTCCAAAAAAGAAGCCGCAAAGTAAGATAAAAGGAAACGTAAACGCACAGCTCCCACTCTCATACGCTGATACTCTGACCGACGAAGCGGCTTCAAGTCCGCCGAGGACGAGAGCAGATTATGTTCCAGACGGGCGAGCAGTCGAGACAGAGATAGATTCGCGAGATTTGGGTCGGAGGTGAGGGCCCCGGGGTATGTTGTTATTGTCATTTTCGGTATATGGTTTCTGTCTTGCGCCCGGTGTTTTCGCTTCTTGTTTCTCGTCTCCTTCTTGATGTGTTTCCCTTTTCGCTTGCTTTTTGGCTTTTTTTTTTCTTCTCTTCGCCGCGCTTGAAGGTGGGGTTCGAGTGAGGGGAGTTGGGCTGCGATTTCTTGTTGGCTTGTACTTTGGGGAACTATCGCAGATGGCCTATCGAGCAATCATGCCCGTTGATTGGGGATGACTAAGCTCGATATGTATGGGGCATGTGACTTCGTCCATCGCTATTGGGTCATGTGGTTTCATACTTGTTTCTTTTTGAATGGAAAAGTTCTCTACGATAGGTCCTTCGGTGATTCGGGGACTAAGAGGGTAGGTGGTTGTCCATACGTGTTGGAAAGAGTTAAGTTTTAGATTTCATGAATTCAGCATCGTTAACTCGTCATCAGTCATCAACAGAAGTAAAAATAAAAATAATTCTGTATGTAAACAAGTCCGCCACCCATTAGGCACCATTTTTTCTCTAAAGACAAAAAACCTGCGCCTCAATGACCTGGAATTTCAATGGAATGTAAGGGAAAAGAAAGAATAAAAAAAAAAAAAAGTACCCGAACTAAGCAAGCAGAAGGGGGAGTCGAGAAGAAACAAAAGACCAATGGACGCACACAAATCAATTAGTTGTACTGCAGCATGGTTCGTTTATACGTACGCACGCCTCCTTCATCCACGTCGTAGAGGTGCTGGACAACCTGGTTGCGCTTCAGGACAGAACATGTCCGTTCTGGGGCCGCCGTCTCGGAAAATTCATGCGCGTCGAGCGTCTGTGACCCAGCCGGTCGATCGGCGGTCTCAATGCAAGATCCAAGAGATCCAGATCGCAAAAGCCTGTTGCTGCGCCCAGCGTCCGTCCCAGAGGTGGATGGCCGACTATCTCCCGAGTTGGGGCTCAGCTCGGATGGGGCAACAGCGCAAGGAGCCTGAATCTGCGGATATGATTGCGCGGTGCTGACACTCTGTTTCCGGCCTAGAACGGCAGCAAGATAACCACTCGAGGGTAGATGTGTCGACCGGGACAGGGGCAGCAGAATATCACAGGCTGAAGGGAGTCCGGCGACACCGTAGGTCGACGGGTCTCTTGGATAGTAGGGCACTCCGTGGCCCACTAGGCCAGCTAGTTCCTCGTCGCCACCACGCCTCTCTTTTTCGCCAAAAGAAAAGTGTCGCGGATCCATTTGCCTCTCTAGCGGTGCGTATCTGCCCAGATGTCGTCGTCTGATACGTTGAACGAGGAGTAGGACGCACAGTATGCAGACGACGGTAAAGGAGATCCAGAACGACAGAGCCTGGATGTTCTTCACGGCGTCGTTTTCCTTCTCATGGCCCATTGCCCGTGTCTCTTTGTCTCCTTGCTCTAAGGAGAGTCTCGGCGGTTTTTCTTTGGAACGTTAACGGCGCGTAGATCACTTATTCCTCAACAGCCTGTTTGTCCAGTACTGGAGATGGCCGTCTGAGGCGTTCTATACTAAAATAGGCAATAGGTTTGGTTTCAAGTATGCTCGGTTGACGGGCAGAACCAGACGAGGGTTAAATAAATAGCTGGAAAAAAATGAAGCAAAATGAGATAGAAGTAGAGATGATATTAAGCTTGGTCTCTTGCGAATAAGAGCTATGAGCGGTATACAGGGATCTTTATAATCTGGGCCATGGCCACCAGAGGTACTTGGATCGAAAAGAAATAATCCCCCGTCTCAGATTGACCCAGTGAGGGAATTGCTACTTTCTAAAGGTATTCCAATAAAATGACAGACTCCACCATGCAGGCACGTATATCCAACCCTGCGTCATGCAGCCATTCTTGAAGCACAATTCGGTACGACGGGGCTTCCAGTCCAGTCAGCCACGCGAGGTTAAGCGGTGGGCAAGACCCATGCGAAAGGAGCCAACCGCGATTGTACGACGACGAGAGGGCCAGATGAGACCCAAGAATGCGGCAACAAGGCCAACAAGGAAACCTGAGTTCAGCTGCCCTGAAAGAGCGCCACCTGCGCAATTGCCGGCTCAAGAGAGGAGCTTCTCCCGCTAGTTCGTTAGGCGGACTTAGCGAGGGGCACCGGTCCCTAGGAGTATGAATAAGGCTGGCTACCGGCACTAAACATTTGCGGCTCGGTCTGTGGTCGAGCGTAAGCTAGGAAGGAAGTGGAGAGTGAGAGAGTGAGAGAGGAGTCTCTCCGTCTAATGCATGTCTCTCCTAATGATTGTCAAGGTCCAGATCCATTGCAGGTTTGAAGCGCCAGTCGTCATTGACTGTTCCCCATTGGGAAAGGTGCCCATACCCTCGTGACCCCGTTTCGTTTATAAGATATATGGAATATGGATGTAATTTGAGAATATTAATCGAAAGGATCCACCATCGTTATTCTCTTACATTACATATTCGTTCTCAGCTCAGCCCATCTTTCGATCATCTGCTTTCGCGCAGATCCATCTTGGTTCGCATAAAGCCAGCGTAATGACAAAAGTCTCGCATCAGGTAGCCATGGCATGACGGGTCGATCCTTTACCTTCTTTTGCTGGAGGTGTGGCTTCTGCTAAGATGATGCTCCCCCCCCTCCCTTTTGAAACTTTTCTTTCTCGCGAATCTCTTATTTTTCCTTCCTCGGTAAGAACTCTAGATCAGATTGCGTCTGTGCTGGTGTCCACTGGGTCAAGTCTTTCACTCCTGCACTACTAGACACTACTAACGCACTAATATCTTAGATCTGCTCTTGGCACTGGGAAAAAGAGCCAAATGCGTTCAGTGTGGCGGTAAACAGAGTGATCGACTGTGGCGTCGACCTCCTTTCGTGGCCTTTTGACAGCAGGAAAATTTAAGAGGAATGGACTACGCGAACCTTGATCCACTCAGATTCGTCTATCAAGTATGTCATTTCAATATGCCTCGCCCGTTCGACCCAACAACCAGGTCCCTTCAATGCATGCTAAAATCGGCTGCCCCACCAATCAGGTCACCGAAGCTTTAGATTTACATTAGCCTGGGCCTGTCGCTCCGCAGACGAGGGGAAAAAAAAATTGAAGAAGTGAGAGGCAAAATACAGAGTGTGACCTATAGCTTCGCGGTGATGATCGGTTTTGAGGCCACCTCTTCTCTAGCGCGGTCTCGAAGGACCTTTCGCAGGATCTTGCCTGAAGGGTTCTTAGGAATTGTTTCAACGAAGATTACCCCGCCAGTGATCCTCTTGATCGCGGAGACTTTCCCGTCCATGAATGCGATAAGATCTTGTGCGGAGGCGCTCTGTCCAGGCTTTAGCACCACATATGCCCGAGGGCGCTCGTCATCGTTCCTATTCGTTGACAGTCAGTCTATCAGCTGCTCCTGGTTGTTCATCCATCTCCAGAGAGGCAAATATAATACTTACACCGACACTCCAATGACCGCAACGTCAGCTACTGCCGGATGCTCCAGCAAGAGGGCCTCTAACTCTGCCGGCGCAACTTGGTTGCCTTTCACTTTGATCAGTTCCTAGGACAGAATTTGTCAGTCAACGCATGCATAAGCTCTAAAGGGATGTATGCAAGGCTAATTTTTTTTCGCCAGATGTGGCAACTGAGCTATTTGTCATACGACGTACCTTCTTTCGGTCAACTACGTAGAACTTCCCCTGATCATCCACATATGCGATATCTCCGGTCTTCAGCCATCCGTCCTCCGTCTTGGTTTCCTTTGTGGCCTGTGGATTTCGCCAATAGCCCTTCATAATGTTCGGACCTCGGACCCAGAGTTCACCCCGTTGGTTACGTCCTAACTCGGTGACCCCGTCGTCCGCCATGATCATCGCTTCACAATTGGGGTTCAGCTCTCCAACTGACGCGGTGTGACTTGTTTCAGTGGGGTCCCAGCCAAGTATAGCGCATGTAGTCCTTTGGAAAAGCTTCTGTGTTAGCTTCCATACCCTGCTTCATTGGTGGAGATAAATAGGGGCCACAACTTACTCGGTCATCCCCCAGCCCTGTTTCACATTGATACGTCCAGATTCCCAGAGCGCCTCCACCTCATCACAGACTTCTCTTCCCAGGGGCGCTGCACCACTGGCAATTCCCTCGACGCTGCTAAGATCATATTTGCCGCTTCTGACCGCAGGATGCTTGGCTAGGGCAACCACCACAGGAGGGACCAGAATAAGGTCCGTGATGCGGAATTTCTCCGTATATTCCAGCATCTTGATGAAGTCGAACTTGGGCATGATGTACACAGGAACCTCACGCTTCAATGCGTTCGCAATGAAAATATTTTGGGCCATCGCATGATACATCGGTAGGAAACAGAGGAACCGAGACCTAGCATTCCTTGCTTTCCAGTCCGGATTCAGATAAAACGATTGATTAGCCTGGAGCATGTTGGCGCAATAGTTTTTGTGAGAGATTTCCACGCCCTTGGGTCTCCCCGTCGTGCCGCTGGAATAATTCAAGGCGAGGGTACGGCTAGCCTTCTCTGGAGTCGATAGATCCTCCCATTCAAATTGATTTCCTTCCTCCGCAGACGCCACCAGCTCACCCCAATAGCGACAACCCATCTTGCCCTCCCCACGCCCATCGAAGATAGCATTGTTAAAAACAAACACCTGGTCCCGACTCAATCCTGCAAGTTGCGCCGCTTCAACACCAGTATCGAGACTCCCTTCAGCGCAAATGAGGTAAGTTGCGCCGCTATCCTGGAGCTGATACGCCAGTTCCCTTGCGACGTAAGTAGGATTGGCCCCCGAGAAGATGCCTCCCGCCATGATGATGCCCATAAAGACAACAGGGAAGAAGAGATCATTGCCGGAGAAGAGTAAAACACGATCACCGGGCTGGAGACCAGCCTTACGCAACCCTGCCGCAAAACGCTTAGACCATAGTCGGAAATCATGCGTGGTGAAATAATGCGTGTCGGGACGAGCTGCCTCAGAGAAGCACCGGTGTGTCTTTGACAACGGATGAGTGGGCGATGTGAACAGGACAGTTGCCAGGTGCGCATCCGGGACATGCACCTGCCAACGCGATTTGAAAGGCATCGTGAGTCTCTTAAAGATTCCACCCAGGAAACAAGGGATCAAATAGCTTTCAAGAAGGGAAGCACTAATAAAGTCCAACAAACGGTAAGGAAGAGTAAATCGCAATATAAGCCTCGAGGAGAGCAGGAGCAATTCATATATAAAAATTAGAACCAGGGCGAGCCAAGTAATTCACTTGGTTCAATCGAAACTTTCCCCAAAAATGTGGACTACCTCGAACCCCTCCCTATGAGAACCAGCGAAATGAATAATTTATCCAATTTTATCCATTCATAACGCGAGGATCAAACCCCCATACCAAGCTTGCAGAGCTCTCCCCGCATTTAGGGTCGGTTAAGTCGGTACCAATCAGTTTCTCCCCGAGCGAAGATCCCGAGGAAGTAAACGCTTCATGACCTCGGGTCTTTGACTCTTTGTCTTATAGGGGGAATGAGAGGCGCACTGTCCCTGGCTATGTCACACAGTTGCCCAGGTGAGGAAGAACAGTCGGAGAGGTTTCTTACAATTGGTGGGACCGAATGCTTACAAGTCGAATGAGGGGTGTCTATACAGCGGTTCCTGCCTTATTTAGCCGGTTACATCATTTCTTTCTTTCTTTTCTTTTGACCCTAGTCTGAGAAGCAAAGGCGGCCGATATGTGGTAGGTATGTTCAATCAATGGAATACCGATAAAAGATTTCTACACCCCCTCCGTCTGCCATTTCCTGTCAAAAACATCACGCTATATCTTAAAAGGATAACCCTGAACGAGTCATGGAAGGAGGTAAAAATATCAAGAAATAACCACATAGACACCTTGAAATTGCACACAACATGAGATGGACACATTAGCTTCATTACGCCTCCTCTCCTCCAAGACAGACCAGTGTGGCTTTCAACTCGCTCACGATCTTCTCCTCCAGTCGGTTCTCGGCCCCCGACGAAGCGTTCAATGGTTTCTGGCGTACCAGCTCCGCTTCCTTGTCGTTCGTGGCCACGATCCGTGCTCGGAGGAGTTGTCTCCGTTCGAGGAGATCTTCAATGTCTTCCTTCACGTGCGCTCTGTCCCATTTGAGTTCCTGGATGGACTCAGCATCCATGCCGGCACTAGGTCCTGCTTGGCGGAATCGACCCAATATAAAGGAGATCAGTGCTAGTGAGTACGCCTCGGATGTCATGCTCAGACAGATGCGTCGGGCCGTAGACCCAGCCGTGCGGTCGGCAGCAAACGCCTCGGACGCCCGCGTAAGTTGGCCCTCGAATTGGTTAAGGAAGGCCGCCACTTCGGGCGCTGTGCGAATAACGTGGTAGAGGAGGTTCAGGCAAAGGGGAAGGATACCGCCGGTCCAGATAGCGTACATCCTAGGCACAGTATCAAAGGGGCCAAAGCCTTTGGGTTGTCGCAGAATGTTTGTCAGCCGGCATGTAGAGAGTCTGACCAAGACCACTTCGACGGCGAGGTGTTCTGCCAGCATGGGTATGGTTGATAGTTTAACAAGGAAAGAAATACTGAGTTCTCCGTAGATGGGATCGCCAGCCACAGCTAATTGATCAGCCCACGAAAATAGAGAAGTTGCATGGCGACCCGTATCGTTATCCGCAATATGATAAACAATATGCTCGTATACACGATCAACATTCTTCACCTGCAAGCAGCTTTGCAAAATGGCCGTTATGATGGCAAAGTCCTTCGGTGTGCATTTCTCTGGTTGATCGTGCAAGTACGCAGTCAAAGACTTGAACCCTTGAGCAACCACAGTCTTTACAATTTCGACCACCAGTCCCAAGTCAGATGATACCTCAGCTTTCTTACTGAGCGTTTCGGGCGCTGTGCGCGAAGGTGAGTCATGGTGGAACTGAAGGGCGAGGAAAAGCACATTGAGAAGAGACCGGTAATACTCGGTATCGTCATTGATGATTGCGTCCTCATACGTTGCGCGGCGAGAGCGTAATGCATCCCATACGACTCCAAGCAGACCAAAAACTTCAGCACCTCGGGATCCGATCTCGACAAGTCGCTGGAGTAGAACCTGTGCAAAATCTACTCGGGTTTGTTGAATACGCGCGAAGATTGCTTCTTGTGGGACGCCATTGGTGTTGGCCTCGAGACATCTCTGTACGACCACAGCCATCGATTTTTGAACCTCGCGATCCATCATAAAATCTGAACAATGCTCGATGGCGAAGAATTTCCAACTATGGAGGAGCGACTGCGATCAAACACTATTAGAGCCCATTCATATAAGGATTGCACAAATACATACCACTTTAGCCTCAATCAGTGACAGATTGAGATTAGCGCGTTCGAACTCCTGGTTAAACCCTTGGTTTCGGGTTCCTGCCCATGCAAAATCGTAAGAGAGAAGCTTTTCGCCGAGGCGAATATCATAACAATAATCACCGCCCAGGATGCGAGGCTGCAATGTCGTCCTTTTAAAATCAGCGAGCTTGCAGCCTGAATACCTCATCTCAAAGTTCTTCTTCAAGTTGGCGTGTAGTGAGGCATTGTACCCCGAAACCTCAACTGCATCCTTCGCGTACCAAGATACAAGAGGAATTAAAGTCTTGTAGAAGGACCGATCCTGCATTTCTTTTGCGGAATGTAAATACACGGTGCAGAGATCAGCGACGACAGCTGCAATTCGTGTAGTGAATATCTGATCTACCACAGATAATGACGCTATCTTCAACTTCGAGACATATTGCACGAGGCTGGTGAAAAACAGTGAGTGCTTTCTCAGCTCAGAGGTGGCCCAAGGCCAGTTTTCCTGGGCATGAGAGACAAACTCTAGCAACGCAAGGGCTACCTGAAGATCAACTTGGTCGATGTTTGACAGTGTATCCAGAGCAATCTTCAAAAAGGGCGTTCCTCTCATAGCCGGGGCCTTTTGATCGTCGGTCTTTCTCAGTGTTTGACGAGGAGAGGATCCGGTAAGAATATAGACCGCAAGCCATTGCTGACGTTTGGTGACAAATGTTGACAATAGCTGCCATATTCCCAAATGTAGGTTTCGATCACTCAACGGCCTGTCAAATTGTGATAGGATATCGAGAAAGAGACAGGATGACTCGGCTCCCAAATGACCAATCAGGGACGGTGGCTCTTTGTCAGAATTCAAAGCAGCGCCTGTGATAAGTGTGTTCAGAAGAGATATAATAGGTAGTCGGTAGGCGTCATGCAGTGCATATAGTTTGACGAGAACTGGAGCTGCCTTGAACAGTTGCTCTTCTAGTAATGACGGCGGTGTATCGAGTAGCTGGGCAGCTTGTAAAAGTCTGGTTGAGAGTATGAGTGTCGAATTGACTTGCCTTTCTACTAGTGTTAAGTAGCGAAGATATAATGAGGGCGGGGTTTGAAGGCCATCAGCAATGAGTCGAAGGATCGGGTTGAAAGGGAGATCACTCGTCGAATGCGGTCGTAAAACATCCAGGAGGTACGTCGCTGAGGACGAGAACACACCAGTAACTTTCGCATCCAGTTTAGTACTGTCATTCGTGCCATAAGCATAGTAGAGGATTCTTTCGAATGTCTTGGCAAGTGCCGCGTTGATCTCAAATCTCTGCGCTGGGGAGTTAAATCGCCAATTGATGCTGCTGTTATACACTTCGACCATGATTCGAACAAAGTCCAAGAGGACTCCTCTCATCATATGGGATGGGACGCCAGCAGTCCAATCAGAAACGGCTGCGGTCTTGCCCATTATGCTATTGGGGCTTCTCCTCAAAACAGCACGAGAGGCAGCGTCGTCAACAATGGACTCGAAAAAACGTACACAGCTAAGGAGAAAGGGATATTCGCCTGATGTGACCTCGAGGGCGGAGATGACTGCGGTCATGATGCCGCCTTTGCCATCAGAACCAAAGAGGCTGCTCCGAGACAGGAATGGCCATACTCTGCCAGGCAAAACTTCAATAAGAGCGGTGATAAACCGCAGACAGGCAATAACGGAATCCAAAACAATCTCAGAGCCTGCTCTAGGTCCGATATGAGACAGATTGCGTTCGAGAATGTCGAGTACCACTGAAACAATATCGCTTTGACGGGCTAACCCATCGCTTGCCATTTCCAAGATCCTCTTAGCGCCTGAGTCATCGCCATTTTGACGTTGTGTATCCTTAGAGGTACTGAGGAGATCTGCCAAGAGCCCTATGATTTCCGCGATAGAGTCCTCTCCCCATCCTGCTGAATATCCTCCGTTCTCATTCCATTCCTCTAGCCAGCTTCCTAGGTAGCTTAATGAAGAATACCGGTGCTGCCACATGATAACAGCGGGCCTTGACTCGGACACGACTTGCCCAATCGTGGTAGACGGAACTTGAGATGAGCCCGTGACAACCAGAGCATTGCTGGTTTGATTTTCAGATAACTGTCTTCGAGGGGATGAGCCAATCATAGGAAGGGATTCAACGAGAGTGACGAAGTTTGCGTTCTCATCCTCCCGTATCGTCTCGTACCCTTGGAAATCAGGCGGCAAGGCCTGAGTAAATGTGTCCATGTTCTCCATTTCATTGAGAATTTCTGGGATCCCTTCGTCGTTAACTAGGTCTTTGCTAATAAGAGCGCGGCAGAGTTTCAAAAACGGCACTGTCTCATAAGGGAATCGCGACCGGGCTAGTCGAAAGATATTGTCCATCAAGAGGTCATCCTTGATGAAAATACACCGTGGGTCACTAGAAGACGAAGCAAGGCTATTCCTGGGCCATAGATGTTCTGAGGATGAGCCCACAAGGATTGCCAGAACGGATTCCACAATTTCGGGCGAATAATCTAAGTACACCACAGCCACTCGGATGAGATCCAGTAGCACCGTTCGAGCCCAGCAGTTCGTCAAAATGTCGTCAACTGCAGATGTAGAGCCAACTTTGGTAGCCAGATTCATGGTGATCTCATAAGCCATGACCCTCGCTTCATCCGAGGTCAACAGGGTTATAGAATCATCAGCCGTGTACTTCGGAGTTCGTGCGCACTCTAACAACTCCTCATAAAGTGAAATTTCTGAAGCTCCGCCTGCGGTAGATTGAGGAGTATTCGATTGAAATGAGTCAACTGCGCTGTGAAACTGTTCCAACTCTCGGCTCTCTTTGTCGTTGAGGGCAAGCTCTCTCAAAGTGTTTAAAACCAGTCCCCATGCGAATGCCGCGGGGCTTGCAACTTTGGACTCCACCACTGCAGAAACAAAAATCTCATTCACCTGACCAATCTCATCCTTCGAGAGAAAATATGGTGGTTTCGTATTAGACTCTGGTATAGGAGTTTTATTTATGATGGAGGGAATAGTAAGCGGTAGCTTCATGAACGCAAGGGTCGTCAAGCTCACAAAAGCTTGAAGAGGGAGTAATACTTCTTGCGGATTCTGGCATGGCTTTATGAGGTCAGCTTCAGAACTTGATAGCAGGAAGGAAGTCTAGTACTACTCACGATTTGGAGTGGCTCAAGGAAGTTGTAATCGCCCATGAGACGAAGCCAGGACACGAAAACATCGGCAGAAGGGAGCTCCGCAGATGATTGAAGCTGTAAAAACAGAATTTGCACAATGTGCAATATCTCTTCAACGAGAGCCGTTCGCCACAAGTCTTCCACGCGCTCGCTACTCTCAGCGAGTCCTAGCCATCCTCCATCTCCCTCCAATGCCGAAAGGCGAACTTGGATAGCTGTAATGCATGCTTGAATGAGAGTGTGGCGTTTATCACCGGCAAGCTTGTTGTTGAAGAGTGTCGTACCCAATTGGCACAACAAGTCGCTTCGTTTCCGTTCGGACTTTTGCGGAGCAGGTTCGTTGACGTCGCTGTGCAGGGAGAGAGCGAGTAGCCTCCGAGCCGTCTTTATAATGTGTGCCCTTTCCGACAAGTAGAGCTCTCGCAGGCGCAGACGCCTACTTTCTTCAGAAACAAATCCCGAGCCATTGTCCTCACGACCGACTTTCTGACTGAAAATTTCAGCAAAACTGGGCCCAGCCAACGACATGCGAAAGTTCTCGACACCAGCTGCGCTTTGCAAACTTGTAGATTCCTCTTCAGAGAATCCAGACAGAAGGCGTGTGACAGGGCGGTTTTGCCATTCTAAGACTGCAATTCTCAGGGCGCTGATTTCGTCAATGCCGGCTTTCTGGCTCAGCCACAAGGCGTCTTCTTTGAGTTCCTTTAGGTTATATGAAGCTGGCGCTGTGGTCTCCGCATGGATCGCAGCCGTTTTCGAGTCAAAGTCTGACTTTGTTTTTGCCGAAGAGGAGGCGAACCCGTCTAAACAATTTGCAAGAAGCTGAACGCTTTCCGGGTGCGACAAGAAAGCATAGAGACTGCCGGTGTCGTCTACGTCATCTTCGGGGTTGCATGTGTAAAGAAATGCTCTCTTCCAGGACCTAAAGAGATGGTATAATCAGCCTTACTCCTCTGTTAAGTATTGCATATGCGCGTACAGAAGCTGGACGTCCCCAGAAAAGCACTTGTCCAGGGACGGGAAATAGGCTTCCGGAACGGGAGCCATTGGCGCAACAGCTATATCATTCTAAGACCTAGAAAGATACAGCTTGTATGCGCAGGTAGGAGGGACCTAAATAAAGCAAGGTCGATAAAGCAATAAGTGTAGGAAGCTGAGAGCGGGAACTCAAGAATATTCAAGGAGCACTTTTGGCTGAGGTCAACAATCAACGCCTATCTTGGTTTAGTGCAAGGCGGTGAGACTAAATTTTGCGCAGTTTGACAGACAAACCCGTTTGGGAAAGGCGATGGATATTAGTATCGGGGCCGGAATGCTTCAGTGAGTCAAATGCCCCGCATTAAAACAATTCGTTGCCCAAACCTGAAGAAAGGTGAGTTAGAGCTGTTGCTTGAGTAATAGACTTCTATCTACGCTTATAATTCTCACGTATCTTGTTCTTTTCAATTATTATTACTGACTCTGACACCTCTTATATCCAGGTCTTAGTCATGGCGGGCTCCGATCTCGTTGACCATTCCCCTCACCATCCCACCAAAGCCTCACGGCTTGATAGCGCTTCAAATGTCATTCTGATCGACAACTATGATTCTTTTACTTGGAATGTTTACCAGTATCTGGTTCTTGAGGGCGCCACCGTCCAGGTGTTTCGCAATGATGAATTATCCTTGGAGGAATTGATCGCCAAAAAGCCGACTCAATTGGTCATCAGTCCTGGTCCGGGCCACCCGACCACGGACGCTGGAATCAGTAACGCTGCAATTCAATACTTCAGCGGTAAAGTACCAGTTTTTGGTGTGTGTATGGGTCAGCAGTGCATTATCTCTTCCTTTGGTGGCAAAGTCGATGTCACAGGCGAGATCTTGCATGGTAAGACGTCAGTGATAACACATGATGGCAAGGGTGCATATGAAGGGCTGCCGACCTCGCTCGCCGTGACCAGATATCATTCCCTTGCTGGAACCCACTCAACAATCCCTGACTGCTTGGAGGTAACGTCTTACGCCCAGCTGGGCGAGGACAGTAACAAGACCGTTATCATGGGCGTGAGGCACAAGCAGCTTGCTGTGGAGGGTGTCCAGTTTCATCCTGAAAGTATTCTCACCGAGTATGGCCGAGGGATGTTTAGAAACTTCCTCAAACTTACAGCGGGTACATGGGAGGGTAACGGCAAACAATCCAGCGCACAGAGTGGCGCTTCTGTTGTGACTGGGTTGGCTGCCTCGAATACCACCCCGAAGGTAGACAAGAAGACATCCATCTTAGAAAAGATATATGATCACCGCAGGGCTGCTGTTGCCATCCAGAAGACTATTCCTTCGCAACGGCCCGCGGATCTTCAGGCTGCTTACGACCTCAACATTGCTCCTCCACAACTCTCATTCCCTGCTCGTTTAAGACAATCACCTTATCCGTTGTCTCTTATGGCTGAAATTAAGCGCGCTTCCCCTTCCAAGGGTATGATCGCAGAGAACGCGTGTGCCCCTGCCCAGGCTAGAGAGTACGCCAAGGCCGGCGCCAGCGTTATTTCTGTCCTCACTGAGCCAGAATGGTTCAAAGGTAGCATCGACGACTTGCGTGCCGTCCGCCAGAGCTTAGAAGGGGTTACGAACAGACCTGCAATCTTGAGGAAGGAGTTTGTCTTTGATGAATATCAGATTCTAGAAGCCCGTCTTGCTGGGGCTGATACTATTCTGCTCATCGTGAAAATGCTAAGCGTTGAGCTTCTTACAAGACTGTATCACTATTCCCGCAGCTTGGGAATGGAGCCTCTCGTTGAGGTTAATACTCCGGAGGAAATGAAGATTGCGGTCCAGCTTGGAGCCGAGGTGATTGGCGTAAACAACAGAGACTTGACAAGCTTCGAGGTTGATCTCGGTACGACGAGTCGTCTCATGGACCAGGTTAATGAGAATACTATTGTTTGCGCACTTAGTGGAATTTCCGGGCCCAAGGATGTCGAGGCTTACAAGAGAGAAGGTGTCAAAGCAATCCTTGTGGGAGAGGCACTTATGCGGGCATCTAACACATCGGCTTTTGTTGCAGAGCTTCTTGGGGGGTCTTACGGGGAATCTGCTCAAGCTTCACGAGCCTCGCCGTTAGTCAAGATCTGCGGTACACGATCTGAAGACGGAGCTCGGGCGGCTATTGAGGCTGGTGCTGATCTGGTTGGTATTATTCAAGTACAGGGACGAAAGCGAACTGTTTCAGACGATGTTGCTCTTCGAATTTCTCAAGTTGTGAAGTCGACAAAACGACCTGTCCCTCATGCCGCTTCGACCACTCAAGGAACATCACCTGCAGCCTCGGTTGATTACTTTGATCATTCCAATAATGTTCTACGCCATCCCAACCGGGCCCTGCTCGTGGGTGTGTTCCAGAATCAGCCATTGTCATACATCCTGGAGCAGCAACAAAAGCTGGAGCTCGACGTAGTTCAATTACACGGTTCTGAGCCATTGGAATGGGCTAGGTTAATACCGGTGCCTGTCATCCGCAAATTCGGTCTTGACGAGACTGGAATTGCACGAAGAGCCTACCACACTTTGCCCTTACTTGATTCTGGAGCTGGTGGCTCTGGTGAATTGCTCGACCAATCCGGTGTTCAAAACGTTCTGGACAGCGATGCTGGCCTGCGTGTTATCTTGGCTGGCGGATTGGATCCCACAAACGTTGCTGACACAATTACGAAGCTAGGAAAATCAGGTCACAAGGTTGTTGGGGTAGATGTCAGTTCTGGTGTGGAGTCGGATGGCGCTCAGGATCCGAGTAAAATTCATGCCTTTGTACAGGCAGTGAGAGGACTTCAGCAGTAATTCATAGGCTTTTTGTTCTCAGATACCAGCAACTTGTCACGGACCCGCAGCGATGATCATGAATGAGTTTCCTTTTGTCTTTTGAGCAATGACTCAATCTACACTTCAATTTCGGGCTGCGATTCACATTTAGTTTATGAACTAGTTTTAAGATACAACTATCTCAAATCAGATGTGTCTATAGTCAAGATTGCGAACTATGCTCGAGCTCTCACTTTCAAATCATCCCAGGAATGCGTTCATTGTTGATAGTATGACATTTCATGAATCACCTCGTTCTATAAACTCTTTCTCTACTCTCACACAACCTAGCTCTTCCACTCAGCATAGCAGATAAGTAGTTGTTGCCAGACCATCTAGTTGCCTTCTCGAATCCCAAGTGCTTTCCGACGATCTACCTGTCCTGTTCCACAAACCAACCGCCTACCTATATTCATACAGTCAATATGGGCAAGACTTTTGCAAAGGTTCACTTGTGCTCGGCTGGGAAGCTTGGAGACAGCGGTAAAAAAATTCCGCAATGGGTTCAAGCAAACGGGGGAAGGTATTCTAGGAAAGTCACTCAAGATGTGACGCACCTAGTTACAACCAAAGACGCCTATATGAACAACATCCCTGCAGGTTAGTGCCCCAACACCTGAGTTACTAGACTCTTGCTTTACTAACACATCTGACTAAAGTCAAAGAAGCTAGACGTCATGGGACTGTGAAGATAGTATCTTATGAATGGTTGGAGGACTCTCTACTTTCCCGTAATCGGACACCAAAACGGGAAAAGGCATATCTCATCGAGAATATCTTGAAGGAGGCAAGGAGAGCAGCAAAGGAGAAAGCCAGGAAGACCCCAAAGCAGCAGGGTGGGTCTATAAAAAAGCCCATAGGTAAGCCTACAAGTACACACTCTCAATTTATATACATATCATCTCCAAAACAGGGCTCACATTATGATGTTAGGAATAGTAAACGCAAAAGGCGGCCCTTCAGGTGTCAGCCGTAGGAAGAAATCTGTACTCACTACATGTATGTCTTCCGCTCCATGTGCTTGACCGGCTTAGGTGTTGATGGTGAGAAAATATAGCGGAGCGTCATGTATACACGGACATGACAACTCGTCAACCATACAAAGCCACGCTTGTCCGACAGACAATCACGAAACGTAACGAGAAGTTTCAACTTACGGTTAGTTACATATATGAATCTGGTCTTTGGCTACAGATTGGGGTGGTTGTTCTATTCTCCACAACCAGTGCTGATACTTCGATAAACTGCAGATCTACGAATCCAATGGTGAACCGTGTACATATGAAACCGAATGCAGATACAGCCGTGTTGGTAAAGCAAGCTCCCAGATTCTTGCTCCAACAGGAAGCAGCTTGGACACGGCCCTGACAGCATTTGAACGGTTTTTCGAAGAATATACGGGAAAGAGCTGGGCGTTACGTGAAGACGGAACCCGGCCCCAGCCGAAGAGAGATGATGAAGGGAATTTCCTGCCTCACCATGAGGGCTGGTATACCTACGAATACACCACGAACATATTTACCCACTTCATCCAGAACGGCTCGGCCAGCAGCGCCGGTATAATCGGAAATTAATCTGGAAGTGACAGTATCAGTCGAGGTTTGATTCGTTAGTGCTACTAATATACTAACTCGCGTTGGTTTCACTGTCAGCAGCCATGAGTGACCAGTTAACTCCTCTCTTTCTCGGACTTGGGGCTTCGCATGAATGCTAAAGCTACAAGAGTCTCTTGCTTGATGCCATCTTGTCTCAACAACTGCTTCATACATTGGGAAGAAAACTTGCATATGGGAAATAACATGAAGATACACCATCAGCAGATATCCATTCAGGACACCTAGGTGTCTGTTTCTCTAGACGGGTATACAATAGTAAACAGTGATGTTAAACAGCTAAATGCTAACCTTTTTAAACCTTCCAACACCTTAAGCGCCAAGACAGACTTTTCTTGTGTCTTCGTAAGATAAAGATACATCGCACCAAACCGTTGCAGCCATCGCCAACGAACCGGCTCACAGATAGTCCTTCTTCCTGCTGGTTCTTGTGTACTGTGTAAGAGCCCATTCAATATCACCACTAGAGCCCTTCTCCAGGGATCCGCCGCGGATCTCAAACAATCTCATAGTCATGCGTGGACCAACTTCGGCTAGTTCAACGTCCCGATAACCCGTCTTCACGAACACGTGGTGTCGCACTTCGATGCTATCCTCCCTGTTGACGAAACTGACGACACGGTTGCCGACCTTTCCAGCCTCACGCGGAGGGAAGAGATGCTTCAGGATCTGCACTACCCGAAGGCCCAGCTTTGTCTTGAATCCCTCGAATATAAGGTGGGGGTAGCTCTCCGACACGGTCCCACGGGCAGCATTTGGAATGTCTGCACGAAGAACGACATTGTGAAGTGAGAAGCTAGCCGTCGGTCCATGCGGGAGATGAGAAATAGTCATCGCTGTGGGGGTTCCTCGGTGTTCATGGAGGAGAACCATATCTGTCAACGCCGCAGCATTGGCACTCGATACAAGGTCTGGTAGAACAAGACCACCACGGTTCAGCCGAATCGATGTGGGAAGAAGCAGACGGATTTCCTTTGCAAATGCGCCTAAACGGACAGACGGGTTTCGAGAAGTTGTGACAATGGGGCGGGGATCGACAATTCCTGAGGTGAGGGCGTATTCGTCGTCAAGGTCTAGCATATCCGCATCTTTATCTTTCTTGTCCGCCGTAGGTAAGGACTCGTCATATTTGAAATCTTCGCGGAGCTGTTTGTCATTTGCGATGGAAGGATCAAGGGGTTTTCCAGAAGCTAGCGACGCCTTCAACTGTGCTCGCTTTTCGGCGATAGAGGCATCGCGGAGAAGCAGCGCTCTCCGATAAAGATAATCTCGGCGCTCACGAGCTTGACGGCGCTAAAGACAGTTAGTAAAAGTCTCCCGGTTCATAGCGAAGAGTGTAAATCATAATAGGGCCAAAACGTACAAGCATTTTGTTTGGATGGATGTCTTCAAAGAAACTGGTTGAAGCTTTGTCTTTGGCGGGCAACTTTTTTTAATTGCATTGGTGGTCCGCATGGGCCACCGGACTGTGTGGGATTTGGCGGCAAATAGACCGATAATAAAACAAGGTGAGCCGATCGCAAACCAGCGAATCGCCGAGTCCTGTGAATTACAACTTTCTACCATCGAGGACAGACCGACTCACTGTCATAGGGCTTTGTGGTGTATTAGGGACTCGGTTACTGATCAGTGAGAGTTGCATGTGAGTTTTCCTCTGGCATCGTCCATTCCAGACCAAGAAGAATTCATCGCTGAGACAAGACCTTAGCCTCTCATTCTTCTTGCCCCTCTACTGTGGCACGCTGGGTTATCTTATAAATCAAGACAGATCTCGCTACCACCTCGTTTTCTTCTTAAACTTCTGAGACGGCCGGTTTGTCCTTAACGCTCTTTCATCTCCAACTTATCCCAAACGATATATCAGGAAAGTTCGTGTATGACCGACTCGTGATTCTGATTTGTGGTGGACTGGGCGTTTCGGCTTTGCACGGTTCCTGCCTTCGAGCTCTTTAATAGCGCCTTTTTCTTGCTTCTCCTGGGAGAGTATTTTAGCCTGGATTTTACGATCGATGATGGCGGCTTTAGGTGATGATTTAAGGGAATTGGATGACATAACTGGTGGTCTCCGCCCGCGGAGGCATGACGATGATGATGACGGCTCGGATAATGGGGATGACGACCTAGAAAGTACAACTAGCGCTCCCGCTGCTGGGAATGCAGAAAATCAAAGACACACAGAGGAGGAAAAGGAGCTCCCGCCACATGCATGCGCGTAAGTATCATCGTATATCTCTACGTCTAGATCGAAGTTTAGCTAACCCTAGATCGCCTTGAAGATATTGCGGCATCCATAATCCGAGCAGTGTTGTGAAATGTCTCTCCTGCAGCAAGTGGTTTTGTAGCGCTCGTGGAAATACCTCGTCCTCTCACATTGTCAACCACCTCGTTCGAGCACGACACAAAGAAGTGCAATTACACCCTGCCTCGTCTCTCGGGGATACAATTTTGGAGTGCTACAATTGTGGAACTAAGAACGTCTTCCTTCTTGGGTTCATTCCAGCGAAGTCTGATACGGTCGTCGTATTACTATGCCGTCAACCTTGTGCCGCCATGCCATCGTCCAAAGACATGAACTGGGATACTTCCCGCTGGCAGCCACTCATAGAAGATCGTTCGTTCCTGCCGTGGCTTGTAGCTGCACCGTCTGACCAAGAGCAGCTGCGAGCTCGCCACCTTAGCCCCCAGCTCATTGCAAAACTGGAGGAAATGTGGAAAGAAAACTCCCAAGCCACGTTCTCAGATCTCGAGAAGGCCACCGCTGTAGATGACGAGCCTGCCCCCGTTCTTCTGCGTTATGATGATGCTTTCCAGTATCAGAACATTTTCGGACCACTCGTCAAGATTGAAGCGGATTACGATCGAAAATTAAAAGAGTCACAGTCGCAGGATGGGTTGATTGTGCGGTGGGATCTTGGTCTCAACAACAAACATCTGGCTAGCTTCATTCTACCAAAGCTTGAGCTTGGCGATGTCAAACTGGCCGTAGGAGACGAAATGCGACTGAAATACACTGGAGAACTGCGGCCCAAGTGGGAAGGGGTTGGATACGTCATCAAGATCCCGAACAACCAGTCTGATGAGGTTACTATTGAGCTGCGAGCAAAGGGAGATCATAAGTCGGTGCCTACAGAGTGTACACATAATTTTACTGCCGACTATGTATGGAAGTCCACCTCTTTTGATCGTATGCAACTCGCCATGAAGACGTTCGCAGTTGATGAGATGAGCGTTTCTGGTTACATCTTCCATCGGCTTCTGGGTCATGAGGTCGCCGCTGCACCAATGAAGACACAGATGCCCAAGAAATTCAGTGTCCCTGGCCTTCCAGAACTAAATGGTAGCCAGATTAACGCAGTCAAGAGCGTCCTACAGAGGCCTCTGAGTCTTATTCAAGGACCTCCCGGAACCGGAAAGACTGTCACATCCGCTACCATCATTTATCATCTTGCCAAACTCAATGGAGGTCAGGTACTAGTCTGCGCTCCTTCCAACGTCGCCGTTGATCAACTCTGCGAGCGTATCCACAGAACCGGTCTGAAGACAGTACGTGTAACAGCCAAATCCCGCGAAGACGTTGAATCTCCCGTTGGTTTCTTGTCTCTGCATGAGCAAGTTCGCCTGAATGATAGCAATATCGAACTCCTGAAGCTTAATCAGCTTAAGTCGGAACTCGGGGAGTTGTCGAGCCAAGACGAAAAGCGACTGAAACAGCTCACGCGTTCAGCGGAGCGCGAGATTTTGAACAACGCTGATGTTATCTGCTGCACTTGCGTTGGTGCCGGTGACCCTCGTCTCGCGAAACTCAAGTTCCGCACTGTATTGATCGACGAATCTACACAATCCGCTGAACCGGAGTGTATGATTCCGTTGGTTCTAGGATGCAAGCAGGTTGTCCTCGTTGGTGATCACCAGCAGCTTGGACCCGTCATTATGAACAAGAAAGCAGCTAAAGCAGGTCTCAACCAGTCGCTTTTTGAGCGACTCGTTATCTTGGGTTGCTCTCCTATCCGCTTGAACGTGCAGTACCGTATGCATCCATGTCTCTCAGAGTTCCCTTCGAACATGTTTTACGAAGGTTCTCTGCAGAACGGCATTTCTTCTATCGAGCGTCTTCGTCGTGATGTTGACTTCCCCTGGCCCATCAGCGATAATCCCATGATGTTCTGGTCGAACTTGGGCAATGAGGAGATCTCTGCCTCTGGAACATCTTATCTCAATCGTACAGAATCCACAAATGTGGAGAAAATAGTGACCCGTTTCTTCAAGGCTGGTGTGCAGCCTCAAGACATTGGTATCATTACCCCTTATGAAGGGCAGCGTAGCTACATCGTTAGCTCCATGCAGGCAACGGGTACCTTCAAGAAGGAACACTACAAGGAAATTGAAGTTGCTTCCGTTGATGCTTTCCAGGGACGAGAGAAGGATTTCATCATTCTCTCTTGTGTGCGTTCCAACGACCACCAAGGCATCGGTTTCTTGAGCGACCCGCGTCGTCTCAATGTTGCACTTACACGAGCGAAGTATGGTCTAGCGATCCTTGGTAACCCAAAGGTGCTATCTAAGCATCCTTTGTGGAACTGCCTGTTGCAGCACTTCAAAGAACGGCATTGTTTGGTTGAGGGACCTCTGTCCAATCTTCAGGAATCCCTGATCCAGTTCAGCCGCCCTAAACAGGCATATAGAGGGCCGCAGCGATTCCAGATGGCGTACAACCACGCCTCTAGCGTGACCAGCGGAATGATGAATGGAAGAAATGGCCAGCGCAACGACTTCCACGACAACGGATCCGTGATAGGCTATATTCCTGACGATGTCTCCTCTGTCCACTCTTCTGCTCTTGGTGGTGTCGGTATTCCTTCAGGGTATCCTCCTATGTTCCAGAACTTCGCAGACTCTTGGCCTGCCCTCCCAGGAAACCGTCGGGCCAATGGCAACAGAGGAAAGGGAGCGCCTAGCATTGCTGGTGAATCCATTGCGGCGACAGAATCTGACGTTACTGCAAGTATCATTGATGGCAAGAGTGTTGATCAGGGCGGCGTGAGTCTCGCTGGACTGAGTATCCACGATATGAGTAAACAGCCCAGTCTGTCCCAGTCCGACCGTTTGAAGCGCTACGTCGAATCTGGTGGTCGCGAGCCTTACAAGCCTGGTGTTGCCGATAATAATAGTATTTTTGGTGGAAGCTCTGCCAGCATTCGTGTTACTCGTGGTGTGCCAGGTCATATCATTGATGACGACGACACACGCAGTGTTTCTACTGCGTTTGCGAGCCAGGTGGGGGGAAACTACGATTGATTGCGGTAACGTTGCGTTGTACGCTAGTCTGGGTGGCACCAGAACCTTGCAGCTCTCGCAAAGCTCGGGATACGACTGTTCGCAGCACTGCTAGGCCACTCAAACATCTTTTGGTGACCTGATAGACCGCTCGAGTTGTTGACCGTCTCTTTGGGCATGACAAACCCGCACCTCAGGGTAGCATCGATGAAAACATGTCTCAGCCATATGGTGGAAGATGGAAATATCCTCGAACCTCGAATTTCTCTTCCACGACACATATATCTATATCAAGATATCACTGTTACCGTTCCAGGGGTCCAAAGCAATGACTGTACCATTTGTCAGGTTGACCATGTCCAGTGTCCTTGGCTGGAATATGGTCCCCCATGAAGCAACGCGGGAGTGGTAGTGGTCTGGCATGCATATGACACCTGCTGATTGATCAGTAGCTGTCAAGGGCTATGTCATCCGAGGATTAATGGAGTGTCCATAGATTCGTTCGGCTTGCAGGCGACTTCTTAGGCTACAGGAAAGCTCAACATTTTCACCCACTGATGGCGAGAGTGAGCTCATCTGAAAATGCTATGGATAATTCTTTTTTTTATCATCTTTTTCCGCCTCAACTTTTGTTATTTCAATTTTGATTATTTAAGTAGCTCTTTGCATTGCCTGTGGCATTGTCATTGTGATGCTGATGCTGTCCTCCTACATCCTTGGAGAGCGCAATTGTTTGCCCCTTCACATTTGTACTCTGTACACACCATCCAATCTTTGTCGGCCGGAGGACTTATCCTATCCTGGCAACCAACTACGCTGCTAAGCCCTAGCAAATGAAATATGATTATTGTCGCTCGTTTATAATCTATTATTGCGCCAATACCTCAGAGAGCAACACGTCCTCAGCTGCCGTGCTTTTGCACTTCTCACTGTGGAGTCAAGATGCCTTACCATGAACTCGTAGGATCGAACTGAGTTGGTTCTCTTGTGGCTGCAAATGACTGGATTGAACCGCCCGCCCTGCATCGCAGAAGTATCTAGGCATCTACAATTTCTCACCTTGGCACCTTCCAACCGAAGATCAGGATCTGGTAACCTCTTAGTATGTAGTATCCTAGATATCAGCTGAAGACGTAAAGCTACCTACCAACTCAGCCACAGCGTAAACGACCAGTGATTGATCCATTCTCGTCCTTCAGTCGGCTACATTGATCCAGCTGGATCGACAGTAGCTGAGAGTGACAGGATTGGCTCATGCAGCTCGGGATGTCGCGGCCGAATCTGATATTGCAAGGCTGCGCCACTGGGGGGATCGACCACCCTTATTCATCCTTAAGGGCTGTACTAGGGTCTAAGGTGCATACTTGATTCTAATATTATCTGTCATAATGATGGTGCCTGTTCTTGTCTGTACACAAGGTTATGGTTATTTTTATTTTTGGTGTTTGAGGGGATGCTTAGCTTGCATTGCTCTGAGGCTGATGGTACGTGGTTGTGCTCACGGTACAGTAGCTATGCTGATGGTGCAGATAGTTAAAGATAAAGTCATAGTATGAGGAAGAATAAAACAAAATAATTATAGTAATCATATTTTTACTTTTATTTTATTTATTTATTTATTTATTTATATTTTTTTTTTTTTTTTTTTTT